AGTCTTGTGCATTCACATGATCGTTCTGAATCAGTCACTGTGGTGGTGGCCTGCTCGGAATGGCAGTGGAACAAGGCTTCTCAGTCTGCTTTGTCTAGCAGACTTTTTTTGAGTATCTGTGACAATTTTGCTTTCTGAGATTTAGAGACTCTCAGGCTGCTTTTTTTTTTTTTTTTTTTTTTTTTTTAATTTCTTGGTCCCACTTTTATTTAAATAAATATTGAAACAGTTTTGTACAGCCTCCCAAGTTGTAAAGAGTTTCAAATGGGTTAATTGGATGCCTGAGACCAAGGCACACAGATAAAATTGCAAGTGCAGAAATGTCAGGAAATAGCCAGACAAGGGAGTGGTGAAGATGATTTTTCATGAGAGACTGTTTAGGTCTTATTTCCTCATCGGATGTTTAAAAATTCCTTTAAGTGTTTTACGGTAGAACAAAAGTCTAAATAATCATAACTCTTGCCAACACTGGTCATTCTTGTAAAACTTGTGCCTTGTAGCCTCTGTAGTCTTCAGACAAACCAGTGGCCTCCCTTTAACTCCCCATAAAACAAAGAGAATAGCTGCAAGTCACTGCTGCTTCTTAAGTGTGTTACTCAGCTCTCCATAGGCAGCTGTTGGTTTTGCCTGGGGAATTTATGTCCTTGCCCTGAATGCTCAAGTTCATTCAATAACTTTGTAACTGCTGTTTTGGCCACCTAATATCTTTCCTCAGGTGTGGGGGAACTGGGGAAACCAGGTTTTTTTCTTTTTTCTTTTTTTTTTTTTGTTTGTTTGTTTGTTTTTTTTTTGTTTTGTTTGTTTGTTTTTGTTCCTCTCCTTGTATCCCAGCTACATCAGCTCCTCGTCTGGACTAGTCTAAACTGCTTTGTTCTTTAACTGTCACCTGCTGTGAATCTGCAGTGCAACTAGCCAAGATTGAACAATGCTGCAGACATTAAGGAAAAAATAGGAAGATACTTAGAAGAATGTGCGCCCCCTCAATTTACCACGCGTGCAAATATGGCCTGATTTTATTCAATTGGCAGAGGTCTCCAGCACTGCCCACCAGGTCTTCTGTACCCTCCTGCTCTGCCCTAGAATGGTGGCACACACTGCTGTCAGACCCAGTGCTCTTATCTCCTGTTGTGGTGGTTTTTTTCCACTTAATTTGACATTAGTTTCACAGCCGAATGAACCAGAGGAGACAAAGGTCTAAGTTGCTCTTTAGGCTTCACTGGTCTTCTCAAACAGACCAGTAATGAGAAGTGTGAACCTGTAGCTTTGAAGAACACTTGGCCTAAAGGCTGGGGGTCGCCTGCATCTGGTGGTACATGTCCTGACTTATGTTCACAAACTGCTTGACTTGTAAATCCCTACACTTAGGAGCAATGTACTTACTCAGCAGTAATTTTTGGCCGTTTTAGTTTTTTTTATAATCGAAGCAAACAGACAGAGCTTAGCTCTGTGACACTGCAGACAGTGCCTGCGCCCAGAACTTGTTACAAAATATTTATCTGAGGCAAGCAGATAGAGGCTTGAGCCCTGCGTTTGTTCTTTTTGGCTGGCAAGTTATTGTACCACAGCAAGTTTTTGAAGCCCTTCAACTCCTACTTTCTGTACATCCGTATGTGTTATGAAAGAATGGCTTGGGTTGGAAGACACCTCAAAGATTGTCAAGGTCCAACGACCTGCCATGGACAGAGTTGCCAACTGCTAGATCAGGCACTAGGCTGCTGCCCTGGGCCCCATCCTAACTGGCTTTGAATGCTTTCGGGGTTGCTGCATCTACAGTTTCTCTGGGTAGTCTGCACCAGTACCTCAGGAATTTCTCTGTGGGGAAAACTCCCTGACATCTAATCTATGTATCCACTCCTTCAGCTTAAAACCGTTTCCCCTTGCCTTATTGCTGTCTACCCATGTAAGAAGTTGGTTTCTCTGTTTATTATCTCCCTTTAAACACTGAAAGGAGACTTGCTTCTACTCTAGCTCAGTTCAGCACAAGACTGTATTTGAAGTATCCTGGTGTTAATTATCTGTGAGTAGGAGTTAGCATAGGTAGACTCTGAAGGGCATAATGTCCACTCTCCCACTCCCACAAATATCACCTGGTGAAAAGTAGGCAGGTGGTATCACAAGATTCCTCTGCTGTTTGTTACCCAGATCCAAAGCATAGAAATGCCTGTCTGTTATTAGCTGAATATCCTTGTTTTCTGTCCTGTTTCATTGCAGGCTCTTACTCTTTACAAGAGTCATTCCAGCACTATTTTGCAGTACTTCTAAGGAGTGGCAACTCTGAGTATTTAACTTTCTCAGTTCATTGCTGTAGTTTATTTTATGGGAGTGCTAGTAGGCGGACTCCAAATACGTGCGGTTTTTTACACTATGAGCTGTGTGGATATGGCAGATGCTATTTATTTTCCTTCTGGATTAACTAGCAACAGGGTGAGTATATTTCAAGTTTTCAGCCTATATGGCAAGCCTTTATATATTCATGTTCATATCTTTCAGCAGCATGGCGTGCCACTTGCAGATTAGCAATCAACAAGTGGCACGCCAACCTAACCACCAATGGCTGTTATTGTAATAAATTGATAGTGAGATTTTGCTCAAAAGTGGTCTATATTTTCAACAGGTTTTGCTTTCTAATAGCTGAGTAGAAGGCTGTGCGTGACAAACTGCTACTAGAAATCTTAAGAGCAAACCCTGAGATTACAGACTATCTCCATCAGTGGCATAGGAGTTCGCTGCTTTGAGGGTAACAATTGTAGCTGCACAAAATGGGAATTGAAGAAGTCACTTTGTGTAATGGATGGCTTTCAGCAGAGAAAATGTGCCCAGGACAATTCTGCACATAGTGAAGGCAGTGAGATTTTAAAGAAAAAAAATCCTGGACAGATACTCAGAGAATCCTTTTGAAGAGAAGATTAAAAATTGTGTTTTTGAATGAAGAAAAATGCATTAAGTAGAAGCAGATACAGGAAGATTTCTTCTATCAAATAATAGTAGGAATTAGAATGAGAGCATGTTAATCCACTGGTGAGCCAGAGAACAGGTGGGAATTTGGAATATGAATAGAACAGTGCGTAAAAATGACCTAGAGGAACTGGTTAGTGCTGCTTAATATGTATCTAATTCTCTGACATTAGCCTAGATTTGTTTTGGTTACATAAGCAAGTGCATGTGTCAGTCATTACAGCTAGCAGAATATTGCTCTAAACTGCTCTCTTGCTTACTGAAAGCCCCCTGCAGGGCCCTGCATGCTTAACCTGTATTAGTTTTTTTGCCTGCTTTTCCTATTGAATGCATTTCTCTGACAATTATCTCAAGTATGAAAGCTGCTCAGTGCTGATTACATCAGCTACTGATGAGAGGTGGGGGCTTGCTGCAATCTGCAGAAGATATCTGATCTGATAGAAAATGTCTGAGAAGATATAGCTGAAGGTTGTTTGAGGCACTGTGTGCATTTGTACACGTGCCAAACGTACAGGTGGAAGTTTAAAGATGTTTGTAAGCAGCTAAAAAGCGTTATGTAGATAGTGCAGCTGATGCGTAGAACTCAGGATTATCCCTCATTATGCCAACAGCCACAGCCATAGACTTATGTTCAATAAACTTAACAAAATTAAAATATTAGGTACTCTCAGAACTTGTTGCACAAATAGTGTGATTTGTAGAGAGCAAATTCTATGCAGCTCTTATAACAGCAGAAGGAGATCAGGAGAAGAAAGTGGGAGGAAGAGAAACCAGGTTCTTGCAGTAAGCAAAGCTGAAACAGAACTCACTTGGGTGCAGTAGTACGTGGTCCTTTCCTCAGTGCACAGGAGCTCCTCTGCAGGCTGGCCCCTGTGGAAAAGGCTTACATATAGTGTTTGTTAACATGCAAACCACTCCCCCAATGACAACTATGCCAATCGTAACTCTCACAGGAGCTCGCAAGGCAAATGCATCATTTTCTTGGAAAAGAAGCAAGGTTGGGGACTTTTTTTTTTAATTATCAAGTATTGCACTGAGTTACTGAGCAGAAGATCATTGGGGTTTTTTTTGTTTGTTTTATAAATTAAGCAGGCAGCAAAATAAAAGATGTTTCTTTGATCTCTAACAAAAAGCCCTTCAACTCTGAGTGCATTAAAGGAGAATACTTTAAATGGCTTGCATTGAAACAAATGAGACATTTTCAACATTACATTGAAACACTGAGACAAATAAGAAAAACAAACAAAAAAAAAAGCAAATTCAACTTCCAACCACTTTCATGAAGAGATTCTTGCTGCTAACGGTGAAGGGGGGGGAGGGGGGGGAAAGGGGATTCTAGTGAACTCTGCTCTTGAGTAGTGGTACTCATGCTGGTAGTCCACACTCTGTGCTACTGTTCTTGTCACTTGTGGAAATTACAGGTGTTCGTTTTTTTTGTTAAATAATACTTAAATATCTGAATGATTTCTTATATATTAACATGACTCTTTTGCCTTTGTCCCAACGATGAGCAAGGCTGAATACAAATACTTACAGACTCTTTCACGTAATTCATGATATTTTTTTTTTTTAACTTCACTATTCTAAAACAAACCTTTGAGGATCATTATATTGTACTAAAGACATGCAACTTATACATTTTTTATGTACAATAACTTTAGGACCGTGAAACAATTATACACTGCTAAATTTCCTTGTGAGGAGGTTTGTTATACAATCAAATTAAATGTAATGATATGGAAAGACTAATATTTTATCACATATATATGCGGTTTGTGATCAACTAAAAACAGAATCATAGAATGGCTTAGGTTGGAGGGGACCTTAAAGATCATTGAGCTCTAATCCTCCTGCTGTCTGGGGTTGGCAGGGCTGCCACCCACCAGATCAGGCTGCCAAGGGCCCTATCCAGCCTGGCCTTGAGCACCTCCAAGGATGGGACATCCACAGCTTCTCTGGGCAGCAGTGCCAGTGCCTCACCAGACTGAGAGGAAAAAAAATTTCTTCTGACATCTAAACTTTATCTCCTCTCTTCTATTTTAAAGCCATTCCCCATTGTCCTATCACTAGCAGATCGTGGAAGAAGTTGATCCCCTTCCTGAGTGATCTTCAACTTGTGGTGTGGAGTGTCAAAGAATGTGAGAATTCCTTGTAGTTGGCTTGCAGTACCAATGCACGCTTGTTCAGTGGGATGTGAACCAGAGTGTCTCTTTCTCCAAAAAGTCTGCTGTAAAGAAAAGTGACAAGGTAAAGCAGAGCAGCAAAATCCAATCAGACGTTTACTTCCAAAAGGTGGCATATTGAATCTGAGCAATGTAAACGGATAACTTTCAAGTGCTGATTAGTAATTTGGAAAAATATAAACAAGAAGGAGGAAGAATTCTAAGGCTATTACCTTAGACATTAATTCATAGCTTGAATGACTGAAAACAGTATGGCTACTTATCTGTTCAAAACTCAACAAGGTAACAGCTGCTCTACAGTGAAAATGGAATAACATTCCTGTTTTTTTCCTCTTCTAGTAAGCAATCCTTGGTATGCTTCTTCAGTAAAGAGAAGAAACACAGGAGATAATGTGCTCCCACAGCACTTCTTTAAGGAGCGCGTCAAAGTGTGAGTATCGAATAGATGTGTCATTGGGAATGTTTATGGCAGCAAGAATAACAACCAGGACACTGGATTTGGATGGGTTGCATTTAGGGATGAAAACTGAAAGACATATTTAGAATCAGGGTATGCAGTGCTATGCAAAAACCCCTTGTATGCAGAGAGTGGAATGTGACAAGACTAAATTTCCTAGTTTTTTTTTAAAGTTCATAGAAAATTTCTCTCAAATTATCTGCCTATGTCTGTAATCTCTGGAGTTGTTGTGGGATACTGAAAAAAAACAGGATTAGGAAAACTGCAATAAATAAGATATACTGAAGAAGACTCAGCCAGGCTTATGTATAGACAGGGCATGTGTCAAAAACTCATTATGAACATTTACAGTTGAAAGCAATGATGTCAAGAAGAATATAAATGAAGGAGAGAACATTAATGTAGCATACACAAATTTACAAAAGGCCTTCTACATAATCTTTTCTTTTTTTTTCCAAAGCTTTTCAAATAAGCTGGGCAGTCATGAGAAGGAAGGTCTTCGCATGAATAAAACCGCTGACTAGAAGTCAATTCTCTCTCTGAAGAGAGATATTCATCAGAATCTTTCACGGTTTGTTAGTGGCCCTGGTGTTCAGCAAAGTTTTAAGTTGTCTAGAAAAAGCAGCGAAGAGTGCAATGACAAACTTTTGGGATGCAGTTATTCATGGTGGTGATGATAGAAACTGGCAGAAAAGCCAAGTGATTGTGCAACTGAGTGAAATAATGGCTGATGGGGTTCAGAAAGCATAGTCGTAAACTGATGCACAATAGGAGGAGAAGTAGTTTCACCTACACAGAAATAAACCTCTCATACACAGGAGCAGGATGTTAAGGTCACTTTATGGAATACTGTGAAAAGATAAACCTGATACCTGGTCAGAAAAGTGAGTGTTAATGATTACTGAAAAAGAAACTTAAGCAAAACTTGGCTCATTGTGCAAACCCACTGTGCTAAATGGCATCTTTAAAACTGTGTATGGCTTTGGCCTTCTCTTGTAGAGAAAATAATTAAGACTATAGAATGTCTTCCAGAAAATGGAACGACTGGGTGCATTTGCATTTCCCAAGGTATAAGCAAGGTTAGATGTTTCTTAACAGTTCTACTTTCCATACTGCTATATATATAGAGGAGATAGAAGCTTAATTTTCAGTATTTTTGGGGGTTGTTTGCAGTGTGGAGTCTTCTGATTCCAATAAGGAAATAAAATTTTCAAGTGTAAGGATATAATATGCAAAAGCAGGAAATCGCAGGACCAAGAAAAGGGAGCTACTTGGACTAATCACTGCTGGTAATTAGTCAGTACAGTACAGTGTACTGCAAGGGTGTTCAATCTCAAGAAACCAGATTTTTAACTGAAACAAAACTATGCAGCTCCTTGTAACCCCATTTAAAGGGGCGTCTCTCAGTAGAATTAACTGACTTGCATTGGAAATCATGTTGGTGAAGACAAAACTACACAGAGTAAGCAAATCATGCAGGAAAGTCACACCTAAAGGCTTTTAAGTCACAGCAGGAAAGGTACTGTAATATACCTTGTGCTTTATGGATAGGAGCAAAAGTCTTAGTTCCAAGAATAAGGCTTATGCCTTAACACCTAACGCTTTGGACTTTAAATGAATGCTGCCTCACATCTTCATTCTTGTCCCAGTAGGCTACGTAAGTCTGATTAAGCTCTATGTACGAAGTAAAAATGACTGTTCAGCACCATTTCCAGGCGTATAGGCTTGTTTTTTTTCTTTCTGTTCTGATGTTGTGACATGTTACAATTATGCCTTTTGCTTCCTTTTCCTGTGGTTGGTGACACTTTTTGGAAAGTATGCTGTGGCAAGAGCTGAGGGAATGTAATGAGGAGGTGATGTTCTGGGGCTCTCGCACAATGGCAGTTTATTGCACAGTTGCCTGTAGTTGGATCAGCAGCTTCAGGTCCTCCCATTGTTCTACTCCTGTACTTTTTTCCTGTATTCAGGTGTTCATATCATATCATGTCTTATTGGTATCAAGCACAAAATAGTTATGAAATCCTTGTTATTATATTTTAACCTTCCTTTAAGGAAAAAAAAATTTCATCTACTAAGGTTCTGATTAAGGAAAGAATACCTGAGGAAGTTTTTTTCTCATCTTTTTTGAGAAAGAACAGATATTTCACATTAAATATTGGTTCATTGAACTAAGCTAGTCCCACTTAAGGTTGGAAAAAGCCGAGAAAGATGACAATAAGGAAACAGTAAGGAAAGAGAAAAGTGGTTTTAGGTTTATTTAAGCTGATTTCCTGAAGTCAGTGGAGATCTTCCTCCCTTTGTTTGACTTCAGGAAAGTTCGTTCAGCATTGCTGTGCTTAATTCCTGTTGTGTGCAATCTGCAAATGCAGTGGTTTTGGAACAGTGCTGGCTGGTGTTACATAAATAGGTCTGATATACGCCTCACATTATATGCTTTAGGGTTTCATTCACTTTTTATAGGTCAGTGTTTGTTGATGTTCTGGACTTGTACAATCTGAGATTCTAGTCAAACTGCCTAGGCCAACTGTGATGGTAGTACCTCCTTACATTTGTTTTTGTCTCATCTTTGCAGTGAATATTTATGCTCTGGCATTCTTTTCTTCCAGTATGTCACTGAAGAGGGGTACATCTCAAAGAGGAAATTTAAAATAGGTTTAACTATTTTAAATAATATTTTACCAGCTTGTAATTGTTCATTAAATATGTAAAGCAGTCTATGAGGGATGATAATTCCTTCAGTTGCAAAGAAGCAGAAGAACTTCTTATTTCCATTTCATAAGAAGAAAATTTTGGAGGAGAAAAGCTTTGCCTGTGGCAGAACTGCACTGTAAGCTGTATGAAGGTTGCTTTTCAGAAGCTCTCATAGTACACGTGAACGCAGCTCCACACAGAATTAAAAGCAGATGTGTTCTCCTGAAGAAAAAGTAATCCTCCTTTTCTGCTACATGTTATTCACTGCATGAGTGAACAGTGAAATAAATTCCCATGATTCCTAAAATTAGAATCAATTTATGCACATACATTTAAACTAATGAACTCAGTAATGTGACGAACTGATTTAACCTTTGCTTCCTCTGCTGGTGATTTCTTGCAGATTAAACTCTCTGGTTAGGCTCCTCTTACAGCCTGCAACAGATGCTGACACCAAGAAAAACTTATCAGCCAGCCAGTTGCATGCAGTTAGCCTGCGGCTGTGCGTTGCAACTTGTTGCAATGAGAGACCTTGCTTTTCATCTCAATGATCTTTTGTTTCTGTCCATCTTTTGGAAGCTTTAGAACTGAAACTAAATTGGCTGGAATTCTTGTCTATTAAAGGAAATATCTTTCTATTCAGATAGGATACACATCCATTCGGATCAGATATCTTCTCTTCGGTGTCCATGGCAGAGGTTGTCTCCTAGGGCAATCTGCTGCCCCAGCACACAGAAGTTTGTTTCAGCCATTTGGCCATTGGTGACAGAGCAGCCTCTCTGGTTTTCTTGTGGTCAGCCACAGTCAGAAGGCTTTGTGGGCCTTTGTGGGCGTATGTTTAGGTATCCTATGGAGTCACCAAGTCAGTTTTCTATGAATGTTATGTAGGAACATGGAGACATTAACAAAGTGACCTCTATTCTTCCTTGGTCACACTGAGGCCTTCCGCTCTGTCTGAAAGCCCTAGATAAATGCAGAGGAAGCCACATGGATTAAAACTAAATCCAAGATTTAGCTCAGCAGATGGTCCCTTTCAGAGCGTTCACTGGCTGTTATTGGATAAGCACACAACAGCCTACGTCTTTCCCTGTCATCGCAAGTGGTGTCATTCCCTTGGTTTCTGAATCAATGCCAGCCTTTCCCCACCCCTCCTTTGACGGTCATCACACTCCATTGCATCCCAATTAAGCAAAAAGTTTGAAATCAAACACAAGGTTACCTTATGTTAGTGAGTCTGCTTTCACGCTGTGTGTGTCAGGAGAATTGTCTGCAGAAGCGTCCTTGAGTGCAGAGGTTTCGGTGTAATTCTATAAGCAGTGGTTGTCTTCACTCCCTTGAAAATTTCCTCACCTGACCTTGTCATTTTATTGTGTGAAGCAGAACGTTTTTCTTCTTGTACTAAGTGTTCATTTGCTCAAGTCAGTATAATATATTACAGATTAATAATGCCATCATAATTTTAATGAGGGATGTTATTTAGAAACCTGTAAATCAGCTTAGCCTTTTATTTTTATACATAGTGGAACTCTGCATTTTTCCTTCTCTTACAGCGAATGATATATTCAAAGAAAGATTCAGACTGACCTAAACGGACAAACAGTTTTGCTCAAAGAACTGTGTAGTATGGCAGAATTGAAAATAATCACATATTTCATTTTGGAATATTGCCACATTATTGTTAATTGCCTTTTTTATTGCTGTTCTTTAATTTGAAATATAATGAAATGCTAAAGGTGAGCATACTTTAAACCCATTGTTTATCTGAATATGTCTATTTTTACCTTTGTAGCTTGTTCTGTCCATGCATATGCACTGCTTTGATTATGATATTTTGTTATGTAATGAAGAAAAATGTACAGTAAAGGTCATGAATGAATCTGAAAGATTATCCATTCTTAATCAGTCCCCATCAACATTACTGGAGCTCTAATAATAGGCCAAGTTTAATGATCAATGAAATCTGATGAATTTGGTTTGAAAGCTGGGCAGCTTAGAGAAGCAATCAGCTAAACAGATGTCTGCAGTTTGGGCAGTTATTTCTCTGTTCCTGGCAGCAGAATTTTTGCATGAACAACAAAAAAGCATAAACTGAAAGATTTACAGAATCACCAGGGGTGGAAAAGACCTCCAAGGTTATCCAGTTCAACTATCCACCTATCACCAATATTTCCCAGTAATTCATGTCCCTGAGTACAATATCTAAATGTTTCCTGAACGCCTTCAGGGATGATGACTCCGCCACATCCGGTGCTTAACTTTTCTCTCAGAAAAACAAGTATTTCCTAACATCCAACCTTGACCTCCCTTGGTGCAACTTGAAGCCATTCCCTCTAGTCCTATCACTAGTTGCATGGGAAAAGAGGCTAACACCTACCTTGCCACAGCCTACCTTCAGGTAGTTTAGAGAGCAATAAGATCTCCCCTGAGGCTCCTCTTCTCCAGACAAAATAATCCCAGCTCCCTCAGCTGCTCCTCATAAGACTTGTGCTCCAGACCCATCACCCATCAGCTTTGTTACACTTCTCTGGATATGCTCCAGGGCCTCGATGACTTTCTTGTAGTGAGGGGCCTAAGACTGAACAAACTACTCAAGATGTGGCTTCACTAATGCTGAGTACTGAGGGATGATTACTTCCTTGTTCCTGCTGGCAACATTATTTCAGATGCAAGTCAGGATGCCATATTCACATTCCGAGTGCAGCGTGGAGAGCCAAAGCAGACCACTGGACACAGCTGCATGTGTTCAGAAATGGCCTCAGCCTTATTCATAAGTGGGAGTGTAAGCTGGCACACTGTTGACTTCCTTAGCTCTCCCATTTGTGAGAAACAGGCTGAGGTAATGAGAACTCAAATACTACCTCACAATGTGAATGCCTTTATCCTAGCAGCATCTCCGGCCTTGAAGAGAAGCAAAAGCCCTTCTCAGCTTGCAAGATGATACATGAATAAGGGATGTTTTATCTCAAATACTTCACTGGTATCCAGAGGTATTCATAGGCACAGGCCGGATCTCCTTCCTACATCAGCTGATATCTGGCCTGCACCCATTTGCAGGCTCTGTGCTAACAATTTGTTTCCCATTAAGTCCTGCAAAAATCCCCCTGGAACTGGAGAAAAAAAAAACAAAACAAAAAAAAAAAACCAAACAAACAAACAAAAAAAACCACCAAAAGAGCTCATCACATGTCACATGTCAGGGCCAGTCAGCTGCTTTTCATATTTCAATTAATGCTTTGTTATTCCTGTGTAAAAAAGAAATAAGAATTAAAAATGAAATATTTGTGTAGAAGTTGCAGAAGAGGAGAGTTTTGTTCTGCATTTCTTGCATGTGGTTAAATTACTGATGAAAATTTGAGATGCTCTCTGTTTATGTTTGAATAGTTAAATCACAGGGCTTCATCCCCTTGAGGACCCTTGCAATTGTCTCTCATAGCATGAATGGCTACCTAGAGAAATCAGATGTCATTTATGAGAGAATAATCTCCGATTCACGTAAGTAGGCCAATGCAATTTGTTAAATGTTAAGCCTCATAACGTAACATGGCATGTGCTGTCTCCCTTATTCCACTCAGATAGGTTTTAACAGCGATATCATTGCACGCGTTTTATTTAAGAAGGAAATAATGCAAATGTTTTCAAGAGCAGCCATCTTAAAACCGTTAAGCTGCTTCATCTCCTGAGGAAGTACTGAAGGGTCTTGCTTAGAAGCACCAGGGGTACAGGGTTGTTGGGGAGGGAAGGCATCCTCCCATTTTGCAGATTCACATGCTGAGGATGTGGGGAGGGGGGAAATCCTTCCCTGCAGCCTTTTGAATGTGAATTGGGAATGTGAACAAAGTTTTTCACTGTGCCATCCTTTGTGATTCAACAAAATGAATCATTCAGTAACATAATCTCTCTCAAAGAAACAAAAGTAAGTTGTGAAGAACAACATTTAAAACTTGTTGTTTGTTGCATTTCCTTTCCAGATCATTGCTGTAGAAGTTCTTTTGTTTCTGGATGTAAGGGGGGATGATCTGGTAAAGCAAGTTAGACAAATGATTTGGTCTCCATAGCTCCATTTACCTCCCATTCAGAAAAGCCAGATATCCCTCCTGAAGCATGTAAGTTAAGTACTTCATTCCACACAAAACCCAGAACCCCTTTTTTTTAAAGCAACCTTCATGACTCCAGCAGCAGATTTCCAGCAACTGTTTCACTCATGACAGAAATCTGTGCAGATGACTCCAAGCATTTGCGCATTGGGAAAAATGCTCGAATATGTTTTCAGAGGTCAGAACTTACCCAACTCTGAAACTAGCCTACTAAGGCCTAAAGCTGTTGTTATGCTGAAGGAGATTAGATGAAATGTATGCACAATAATATATAAGAAAATCTTGCTGAAAATACCGGATGAAAATGAAATCCTTTAGCTGGAATAGCAGATGACTGACTAACTGCAAGTCTTGAGGAAGAACTAACTCCAAGAGATTGAGCCGTCTCTTGGCACTGGACAAAGAGACAGGAGGAAGAAGTGGTAAATCTGTCATTGTGCACCAGAAGTTAATTGAATTCTAAACCACAGAATCATTGAACTTGAAGTCAACAGAAAATTAGCAGATGTCAATAAACAATTGTTATGGACTTATGAGCAAGGAAATTATTCATTTATGTTTTTGTGTTAGGGAGAAAAGGACCCTTCATGTTCTGCTTTTCAGAAAACGTGGGAAAAGAAATAGTTTTTAATCTCAGATTGCTTCCTGATCTTATTCCTTTTTGAATTCAGTAATAGTCTGGAGTGCTTAAATGGAAGGTACTCAGGTGTTCTTTGTCTTATTTAATATCATCTATGGAAAAAGAAAAACAGGTAGGTAAAAGGGTTCTAACCTCTTTGTCCCATTAAGTGGTGCGATGGCTGCTGAGGATGGAGACAGGCATCTCATCAAGCATGTGTTGCTAACACAGTATACTTGTTCCTGGATAACCTAGCTGTGCTTTGCATAAGCCACGTGCAGCACATGGTACTTGTCTGGCAGTGGACAACGGGGACCTCAGCTAACGTGTGCCGCCCTGACCCATGGTGCAACCACTTGGTTTCCCTGATTTTCCAGCGTGTCTTCTTCTGGGTTGGTATGTTCAAGTCTGCAGGCATGTCATTTAAGGGTATGCACTTCCAGTTTCTTAAAACTTTAGGTGCAAAAATAACTGAAATTCATGCATCTGGTAGATAGCTGTGTTCCTGAGCTGCCCATAGAAGGTAAGCTTGGTGGACAGATACGGTGGCTGTTTCTAATTCTAGAAATAAATATTTTCATCTTATGCTTGTCTGCAGTTGTTGAAGCTTAAATACATGAGGGCAGTTTCTTTTGTTTAGTGGCTTATAGTGCAGCAGAAGCAGAAGGGAGCTGGTATTTGTTTGATGTCAGGCCAAGTGCAAACAGCAGAACTAATTACAAATTAACAAATACTGGGCACGATTAGAAAGAGAATCAGATAGGGAAAGCTCTCCAACATGTGATAGGGATAAGCTAAATACTTGAGGCAGAGAAAACTTTTCCTTTTTTCTCTGTGATGGTTGTCACGGGTATTAGGAAGAATCGGATAACAGAAAGAATTTCTTCATAGAATGGGCGGCATTGGAACAGCCTGCCTAGAGAAGTGGTGGAGTCTTTGTCCCTGAAGGTATTTGAGAGACATAGGTTAGGTTGATGGTTGGACTTGAAGATTTTTTGCACCCCAAGTTACTCTATGATTCAATCAATTTTCTTTCTGGTGATTTTTTTTTTCATCTGTGGATTGAGACAAATTTGCATGGAGCCTCTGGCATCAGTCTCTCCTTTTGCAGCTCTGGAGAACACAGGAGAGCCTTCCCTTTTCCTTTTTCTCAGGTGCTAGGGAGCATAAAATGTTTGATACCCAGAAGGTTGATCTGGGCTGAAACAATTTCCAAGAATGACTGTGCTTGATATTGTCTCCCTGATAACCAGACATATAGCAAGTAAGAAAATACAGAGCAAAGCCACAATCCTTTCTGCTGTTCTTGTAGAAGTGAAAGGGTTGGAAATAGTATATTTTTTTGTAGTGTTCTCGTTTGGGGAGATAAGTACTTCAGATTTGTATAGAAAGGTGAACAATCAGCTGGACATACTTGCAGCAGTACAGTCTCCAAAGTGATAGTGCAAAGTGAGGTAGATGCATGAAGACGTTTTGAGGTACGATAATTTTAAATGATCCAAATTTTGTCAGTGTTTCAAGTCATTACACCCTCAGTGATTTGAGCTTTAATTTATGTGAAGAACAGAGCTTGGATTCTGGATTTGTTTTCTTTTCTCTTAGATGTAACAGGAAATGATGTTAAACATCTCAGACTTTCACAGAATTGAGTTTTCAAAGTCAGTATAAGTAATTTTGTTTCTTTGTTCAAGTCAGATTCCATCCTGTCTTTATGGTTGCTTTGCTTGAAGAAGTTTGAAAAGATGAAGATGAGTTGTTCCTAAAATGTTGCTGATTTTGAATGTTTAATCCTTTATGAAAATGCTGTGAAAGTGTTTATTTCTACCCTTTCTCTTCCTCCCAGTTTTCTTTTCAAGACATTCAGGTAACACAGCCGTCTCTCTAAAAAGACTTTCAAATAGCTACTCTACTTTCAGTTCCTTTTTTAACAGGAAGGAAAACAAACAAATTGAAATTGCTCCGTGTAAAAAAGCAAGTTCTACCAGGTTCTAGACATTGCTATTGTTATCATTGCCAGCTTGGGGTAGGAAAAACACTTGAACCTTGATGTAAAACATTTGATTACCTCAGGCATATTTTACATATTTTACATCATTCCAGCCACCCTCATAAAACTGAAGGAAAACATAAATTGCTTGGAGTATAACTATTTTGATGTCTTACTCAAAATATTTGCTGTAATCTTCAGGCTTTCGCAATGTCTTTATCTTTAAACATGTTTTTCTTAGCTAAAATTGATCTTTTCAGGAGTGTTAAATACGCATGTAAATTATCTTTTATCTGCACTGTAGCTCTGTGTGGTTTTGATGGTTGAGATAATGTTTTACCTTTTTTTTTTTTTTTTTTCTCCAAGTTCTGACCTATCTAAGAATGTCTTACTGAATGGCACATGGTTTGATGCACAATGCTCTTTTATATGTAGCATTGAAACTGTGGATATGCAACTTCCCATGCGTGTTAGAGGCTCCCCACACCTCTCTGTACATTAAATAATCACTGCACTTTTGCAGGGGACTGAAAACAGGACAGGAGAATGTATCTTTCTGTTTTCTTTTCAGTTGATCAACTTTTCTGGAAACCGTGATGAATCTGCTCACCAGTTCAGACAATGCACCCTTTTATTTCCCCTGATTCAGACAGCAACAGGAAGGCAGGAAGGCAGGAAAACAGGTTGCCACATGGGGCTTGGAAGAACTGACTGTCTTGCTAGGGTGCGGCTGGATATCAGACCTCAGGTTGCTCTCTAAGACAAAACAGGTATTTGTCCAACCCTACCGGTTGCAGTGTCAGTCTGACAGCTTGCCTGCAGGCAGCTTTCTCACTTCTTTACCCACCTCCTGACCTGCCTGAATGAGTGAGTGTCTGGGAAAGTTTTGATGATCCACGTAACCCTGAGGCTTGGGAGAAGCCATCTCCAAGAGACAAGAGACAATACTATCGTTTCCTTCTGCAGTGTGTGTGAAAAACATGACATCTCCTTAAGTAGTGAATACAATCTGCTTCTCACCACGAAATACGTAATCCAAACAGATGGATTTCCTGTCTTCACACAATTGGAAAGCACTGTAGAAAATGTTCAGCATGCTGTATATGGCTCTTCTTCCGTGCTGAAGTTCTTCCTACCACTGTGGGTTTTTTTTGCCCAGAAATTGCCACTTACAGTAAGATGTCAGTAAACTGACTAAATTCCTGAGAAATCCTCTTCTAGTCAAACCCTGCCATTGTACGAGCTTTCAGGGACATGCTTTTGGTTTTCCTGAAAAGAAACAGCGAAGTCATGGCAGAATTCTAATTATTTTCCCATATAACTGAAATAAATGAAAAAACTTTGTGTTCTTGAGAATTAATGTAATATTGCAAACTTTTGAAGACTGCTGAAAGTAAACAAAATTAAAATGGAACACTCAACTTAAAGAAGTTGACTGACAAAGCAGTACTTTTTTTTTTTTTTTTTTTTTTAGTGTTACCTGCTCATCACACATTGCATGGTTGACCTCTTACCACAGTGAGGACACCTCTTGCCAGAAATGGAACCAGAAGAATCTCGTTACAAAATAAGAAATCTGTCTAGAGGTAAGAATCCCTCTTCCCTCAGAAGGAAGAGGAGATGTCTGAGGAGATCTCTATCCCCACTTGAAGCTGAACAGTAGCATTTCTCTTTCCAGTCTGAAATGAATCAGTTACCTTCTGATTGAATTTGCAGCATAAAGGCTTTTTGCTAGACTATGGAAGGTTAAAAGCTTCAAGGGTTCTGCCTGAGACCCAGTGAAGTGTCCTGGTGTGATCTGGGAGTGGCTGTATGTGTACATGAAAGCAAGAGTTTTATCACCTAAAAAAATTACACTTAGTTGCTCAGTGGTCAGGTATAACATGTATGTACATTCTTCAGAGGGGAAAATAATTGTTGGCAAACAACTTCAAGTTTAGCACAGTTTATACTTCCTCACAGGGTTTATTTTACGTATGTCTTACTAAATTTGCATAGAAGATTGAACCAAACCCCATCACAGGCAATGCAAGGATTATCTCTTAGCATAACAAGACGCTGGAAAGATTCACCCTTTGTATGACTGGTTGCAAACACTTCAGCCAACCCGTATTGCTGCAGATGACAAGTTTGTTCCATTGCTGAAGCTATCTTTGACCTCATATTTTCACATTATCCATGAATGAGGGGCTAATCAATAGGCACTATTTGCAGTTATTTGTAGCCTGATGGGAACTGCAGATGATGCAAAAAATGATGTTATGCGTGCAAGAATGTAGCAGCAAATAACAATTGTAGCATCAGCACTGAACAGATTAGTATGTTAAAGTTACACCATTTAAAGTCACCTCTTGAGAACATCTGGTTCAATTTCCTCTAGAAGTGAAATCCTAAGACTATTAGTGAACTTGTGCTAACCCCTGGGAAAACTTTTACTAGCTAAACATGTTATGCACATTCAGGACTCATTCCAGGAAGGAGTTGTGAAATTTTTGTAGTACCTGATAGTACTCTTATCACTAAGCCAGGCCTTTGAATCCTGTGCAGCAGTTGAGAACAACTGAGCCTGTTGTTGATTAAGTTAGACTTAGAACCACTTATTCCTAAGAGGCATCCCTGCAGCGGCCAAATGGTGATGTTTGTTTTTAATAAACTGAGTTGAAAGGACAAATCACAAACATCAAATCCACTGGCATTATGATTCACAGCTGTTTTTCCACTTTCCCTGAAGGGAGCAGTCCCTTTGGAAGTGGTCTTGTCTTTGCTTTTAAAATTGTTAAATGTATGCCTGGACACATGATGGGGATGTTATACAGCAAACCTCAAATTCTCCATAGATTCTAAAATAGTGAAAGCAGAAGACTGGAAACAAAGTTTTGTGCTTTTGTGAATGAAGTATGTGAGTAAATGTAGTTCTCTGATAATGAGTACGGTATGCAATCCACCAAACTCATGAAAGTTTATTGAAGAGCTGTTGTAAGTAGATTTTCCAGAATAAATATTTACCAAATTCTTACAAATTCAATGAAAAGGCAATCCAGGCAATACATCGCATCTCTATTCCTCAGAGGAATATTGGAAATCAATATTTAAATAGAAATGTCTCCTAGCAGCTCAAATTTTAAATAAAAAAGTGATGAAATTCTTCACTAAGCCCATGGAAGCCATCAGTAATTTGGAAAGACAGAGTGTTTACTTATAACACACATGCTCTCCGGAAGAGTAATAGCTTCCATCTTTCAGAAGCTGAAGACTTGTGGATGCAATTATTTAGTGTCAGGTGTTCAGAATGAGACTTGCTTCTTTAGACTCCATTTTCTAAAACATTCCTTTTGACATTTGCTATATCTGTGGAAGGGAAATTTTGCTGTCCTCCCACTCTTGGAGCCCATGGGTTGGCTAGGGCTCTACCAAATGTGTAGCATGCCAAATGTGTAATGTCCTGTACAGGGCAGAAATTGAAGCTATGAGTGAGTTCCCTCATAGAAGTGAGCACAGTTTTTGAAGGCAGGTTCTCAGGCAGTAATCAAGCATTGCAATGTGCTCATCCCACCCACAGGGGCCTATTGGCAAAAAGGCATCATCTTTCTTACGTGATCCCAACTCATGAGCATTAGGTTTTTGTTAGTTTGAAAAGTTTGATTATGGCCACTTCCCAGAAGTAAATCAGTGTAATAAATGGAGGTTTTAGTGCTTTGTACCGGGACAGGACAGAGTAGCAGTGAACAAGCTTCAAGAAATATAAGATTTGTGTGATTGTCGCTTTCCTGGAATGGATAGAAGTGAAATCATAACCAGCAGACACCCACCCATAACCAGCACCCCCCTAGAGTGTGGGATGTGGAACGCTGTGGACTTCAGCTGCTTCTATGTAAAAGACAAAGGAAGACCTGAATATGAGAGGAGATCTAAATCACCTAACTAATGAGCTAAAAAATTTTCTATAGGGAATTAAGCTTTTTCTATGGCTCTTCTTTATACGTTCTAGTGTGTGTCCTTTAAGAGAGTTAGTAGTTGTTATCAAGAGCAAGATACTACACTGGATAAGAAGCTCTGATTGCAGTTTCAGTATGAGGAAGATTTCAGAAGAGCCACGAGACAGGGCTACGTAAATTACTGGTAATTTAAGGCTAGCAAGTGTTAAAGTACCTTCTTTGTGCCCTTCCGGAAGAGAATCTGTAAATCACAAAGGAAGAGAGAACGACAGATCACAAATGAATAAGCTTAAAAACAGTAGGTAGATCTATGCTGTAAAATTGAACTCAAGGTAAAAATCGAGTATTTGTTATAGAAGTACTTATTCAGGTAAGCTGAGTGCTCTTTAGAACACATGCATGGCAACTGGAACAAAACTTAGGATGAAATAGAAGTAAATGTTTTCAGCCAACAATGATTGTCTGTAGGAGAAAAGATACATGCACGTTTTTTTGCAGGGAGCAAAAATCTTTACAAATTCTTTCCGTTCTTGATAATGTCAGTCCTGTTTGTCTAAAATTGATGTTTCTAGTTATGTATTCTCGGAAGCACATCTTGAGCTCAAACGCGTCATGCCAAAGTGCTTTGCTGAGTCCAGATGTAAATGAAAAGCTTGATAGAATAAACTATACGTAACTTCCTTAAAATAAACTTCATTTGGAAACTCATGCTTGAATGAATGGTCCAGTTTTCCATAAACATTCTCTCACATTTCTAAGCTGCCTGGAAAGTGAAATAACTACTGTAAAGCGACAAAATTTTGTAGCTTAAATATTCCACATCTGGCATGTTGTAGTCACTAGTTATGTTATCTCTACTAATTAACTGTGTGTTTTGTGCTGGATTTCAGCGTAGCAAATGACTCACTGCACTTAAGATGCTTTGGCTCTCAGCTCTGAGGAGGCTGAGCTCTTCTGCGGAGAAGTGTAAGTGCATTTCTTGGAAAAGGTGGCACTGGGGATGGATTTGTGAATGACACCTCTCCCCTTGTAGAAGAGGCCAAGATGCCCCTATGAAAACAGAGCTTTTAGACATGCAGGAAATGCCCTGTGGCTGGTACAATTGATTGTGTCACTTTGAATGATCAGAGGAAGTCATTCATGGCATAGTTTTATAGGTATGGTCTTTTAAAAATAGTGCTGTTTTCCATAGATGTCTTTTGGGGTTTCCAGACAGAATATCTTGACTACTTATGATCTTAATTGATTTTATAAAGAAGCATGAAATCAGATAGACTTTGAGATAGAGTTGAGAGAAGCTGGTGTCTGATCTGATTAAGATCTATGTCGTTTTCTGCTTTTTAGAGCCCAGCAGATGCTTCCGAATAGTCGATAGATTTAGTTTAGCTGTTGTAGATACCATTGACAGGTTTTACTTGGCGATACTCTAGCTACAGCTCAGTCATAGGAATTTCTGTGCCGTACTGACGCAGCTCATTTATATCATGGAGATAAAAATGGGGCCACAAGAATCCTTCAATAGGTGCTGTAAATTTTGCTCACAGAAATATGTTCTTTGAGTTGAAATGCAGGATTCATTTCATCCTTATGGTACACACATCAGAGTACTTCGTACAAACAAGGAAATATAATGGAAAAAACAAACTGGGCGCTAATGCATAAGAGGACAGTAGGCATCAGTAAAATCCCAAATTTCTTTAGATTTTATATCATTTTGTAGCACAGTAGAGACAAAGAATTCAAGATATCCATCTCTTCAAACGTTTTTGTTCTAGGGTAATGGTTTTTTGTTTTGTTTTTTCTTTTTGAGATGACAAAGTTTCTTCTTTACTTTGTAGGAATTATTTTGCATCCACCTGGTGCCCCTTATGTTTGCACATTCAGGATGTAATTGAGAAATTAAAGTATTTCTTGGATCTATAGGGCAATATAGAAAAATCTCATCTCCAGGAAATTGCAGTTATATCGCTGAGTAGTAGCCTGGGTGGAGAAATGTTCTTTACTTTGAAGCATAAGCAGAAAGTGTTAATAAGAGATTATCTAGAAGAACAGTAATTATACCCACCTGATGCACACAGCCAAAATCTCAGTCTGAAGGGACTATTGTGAGAGTTAATAGGATTTGGAATTAACTTGCACGATACAGTCTGGTATTTGAATGCAGAGCTTTGCTGATATGACTTTCTCATATTTCAAATTTCATTCTGTTTAGAAATAAAAGTCCTCAAAAATCAATAATTTAAATAGAAATATATTCCATCTCAGGATCTATTAGTATGTCAAAGTTGATAAAGTGCATTCATAAATTGATCTGAATTATTGAAACCATAGATGAATCTAGAATGTCCTGGGTTGGGAGGGACCTCAAAAATAATCTAGCCCCAAATATCTCAAAGCACTTTGTAACTTCAGTATTTATCCAGATTTTCTGTAAATGCATCAGAGGGGTAGGCAAGGGGAAAAGGAGTATTTTTTTAAAAATACCCTTTTAAGATGTGTACTGAAATAACTTTCTCATGAATCACCTGCTTGTGCAACTCCCACACACCGAGCAGTTTAGGCAGTGAGAAACTGGTAATGTTTTACTTGGATGAGAGCAGATATCAACAGGGAGTGGTTGTCTCCTGTCTCCTATCTCCTTTTTTTTTTTTTTTTTTTTTTTTTTTTTCCTAACTGCCAAAAAACTGGATAATGAGGGTCTATTCAGCAAAATGAAATACACTGATTTATGCACAAGCGATGTTGAAGCAATAGATTTTTTTGAATGTATCTGTATTAATATAGATCTTTTACAGTGTAACCTGTTTTCCTGGAAAAAAAAATATAGCTGAAAATGAGTTTTTATTTTAAATAAGCCCAGAAGAAAGCTCTTATTTAAGACGTATTTAGTCCTTTTTTGAAATCTTTTAGCAAAGCTTTGAGTATTGAATATTATTAATGCTTCTCGGCAATACGACATTACTTTTCTCTGTGGCGTTATTGTCTTTAAAATTTATAGCTAAGAAGCAGTATGAGGCAGTAGCATTATTTTAAGCAGCATAAGGTGGCAGACACTTTGCACTGGGAGAAGCAAGCGCTGTCTCTGTAACTCATTTTCTCTCTGCTTTTCACAGGATAAGTAAATGTTGGCCATTATTGATAGCCAGTCATGGTGAGGTCGTCACGGATCCATTCTGTTCAGATAAGTTATGCTGCTTTGTTGTCACATTGTGACCTACGGGTGAGCACAAAGTAGCAGGTGAGTATAGTGCCATTTTAAGAACATAATGCCATTTTATGCTTGGCTTTACAACTAGCACAGCATTAGCTTTATTAACAGACTTTTCTTGTTTTGTACACTAAGCAAGAATCCTGAGGGCTTAAAGTGTCGTGTAAATCTGTCAGATAATATATGCTAGCATGTTTCAGGAAGTAGAGGCTTAATACAGTGTTAACACTCCAACGATCCAACTAGGTTTTATACCATTAATATTGAAAACACATGGAGACAGACACTCTTTTGCTTTTTAACAAAATAAAATCTGTTCTTAAAAGTGATATAAATAAACCTACGTAGTAAACTCATAGCCAGGAAATGTTCATTTCTTTGTATGAATACTTTGCTTTCCGTATAATATGAAAGACGGGGTTCTCACATCCAGGAATTTTGATTTCACACTTTTCTATAGCTGTTGGCTTTCCTTTTCTCAAAATCTGTGGAGGAAGACTCATCAGTGCTTCTTTAAACCTCTGTTACTCAATAAATTTGTTCATAAGTGTGAGCACACAAGGCAAAACATATTGTATGAAACCAAATCTACACACTGGGCTAAGGTTGCCTACTTCTGTTTACGCTGATATCTTGAAGTCAATTTAGTTTTCTGGAGATGTTTTTATAGCAGCATCTGTAAGGATAAAGTTATTAGTTTTCTGGAACTCCAGTTGATAAGTACCAAGTTACCACGTGTAAATAAAAATATTTTATAATCATGAAAACGAATTTTAAAAGCTGAAAAGCTACCTTGTATTTGAGTAGACACTGTAGTACCTTACTCTTCTAGCAAGCCAAATGTTAGACCAGGGAATTATGGCTGTAATTGTTCCACCGAAGAAAGACAAGGATTGCCTTTATCATCTCCTCTTCTTTGCCTTTAAAAGCTCCTTTCAGTTCTGCCTGAGATTCCTTCTGCCTACATCCTTTTTGTGAGAATGTATGACATCACTAGGAAATGATATAACCAGAGGCAATTCATGGTTTTTCAACTCGTGTTTCTTTCCTCTCCAGCTGTGACCCTATCAATTAGATGGAGGTAGAGCTGCTGGGGGGATCAGATGGAAGGATTAAGAAACCCCGTGGAGAAAGCCAGCAATTATCCATGAGTGTCACAAAGACAGAGGTGATCAGAGGTGAGGAAATGCTCGCGTAAGGTCTGTAGAAATCACTATAAGGGGCAAACCTATCAAGACTAATAATTAATATTAGTAATAAAATATGCAGTTACAGTTGGTGAATGATGAAATAGTGACACCAAATTTAACAAAATGTTTATGTAGTTAATCCCTTGATGTATTGTTTGTGAAGTGCTATAATGTTCCTCACGATGTCAAGCCTTCAAGAAGACCGCTTAAATGAAATAAAAACAAGTTTGTACAAGGATAAAGTTACAGTTGTTTTGCATGATGCCATGCCATGTTCCTGTTAAACCAAGAGAGGATCTGGGAGGTCTGAAGTGCATTTGAAAGCACTCAAAAGTACATTGAAACAAAAAGCAGAGAGAAAATGCAGCTGCATCTCAGGTAACATATCACAGAGCTGTTTGGATCTACATGCCTGTTGTTCTGGGACACCAGCTCTGAAAGACAGTGCCTGGGAGCAAAATGGGTCTAGGGGCTTCTGTCTCAGCTCTGAGGGCGGACAAAGCCAGAGATCATCTCTGGCAGGCAAGATAAATGCTGGAGATAGGATGTGGATCATTGCCTGTTTTCCTTGTCCAAGATATGTCTCAGAGAAGCCCTGTTCAAGCTAGAAGGACAGATTGGAATTAGGTTCTCTATAAATAGTGTGATGACTATGTTTTTCTTTTCTTGCTTTCTTTCATACTCAATAATTCCAAGTTTAAACTTTGACTTTAATGAATCAACATGATGCTTTTTGTTTTATTCTTGTCTCCAAAGCCAAGCCAGGTGACTCATGGGTTAAGCTCCTTGGGCTCCAGGGCATGTATTTCCCACACTGTGGAAAAGAAGCTTTAGGGACTCACCAGTATTTTCTGTAGTGTGAAACATCTCCCACCAGGCACTCAGCCCTGGAATAAGATTTCTGGTCACTGGGAGGCTGAACCCTCCTGGGGGAGGACTGTTGGAACTCATTCGTTAGTCTCCAGAGCAGCCTCTTCTGACCACGTGTTTCTGATTGGAATTGTTTCTGTGGAGGGAACAAAACACAAGCTGCAGCCAAGAGCAGAGAGTGGAAGCAGAATTAAAAGGACCTGCAGCAAGTCCGTGTCCTGCAGGCTGTGCTGTGTGAATATGCATTAAAAAGGAGACCTGGATAAACGGTTTAAAAAAAAAAAAAAAAGATGGAGCAAATGTGTGAGCAGCTCACATTAATCACACAGTAGAACCTGGTGATGCTGTGAGGCACTGTTGACTCTCTGTTTCCTGAGAGGCATTCCCACCACAGGTGCAGAACCCAGGCAGGATTAGCAGGATGCCAATGCAAGAACACATTTCAACACCATATGCTGTTGCTAGGAACTAGAGAGCCTGAAACATTCTGGTCAACTCTCCTTTTAGCAAATCTTGTCACTTGTCACTCAAATTTTTTGGTTGCTTACTGAGTTTTGGTTGCACCAGACTATATCCTCAGCTATCATCAGTGTGGTTAAGTACCATTTGGCCGATGAAAATATTGAGCTTACAGATACATAGGAATATTTCAAGGGCCAATGTTCACAGGTGCGAGGGAGATATAGGGCCTTTAAAAGGAATACATATAAAACTCTAAATAAAAGCCTTTTGGCAGATTCATGTCAGAGGTAGTTGCTCTTCGAAGAGTAGCAATAAAAGACATACGAAGAGGTTACATTCCAAATGTGAGAAGTGTTCACCTACTTTTGTTTGATCTGCTACTTTCTCCTCTGTCCTTCAAGTTCTTTTCCACACCACTGCTCACCCCAGGTTTCTTTACAGTAGTCATACAAATTGCTTTGCATTGTATATTTTTTCCTTATGAGTGTTATTCTGTAACTGCATTCTTTTCTCTCTTTGGATCTCCAGTGCAACTGATCATTTATCTACTTTTTTTCACTCCCCTTCCTCCCCTTTTTCTATCTAAGAGCCTTTCTCTGTCTAGTTCTTAAAAGGCTTGGCCTTCTGGCAGCGCTGATGCTTCAATTCCTTCTGGCTATGTTTTGAGGAGCTGTGACTCTCCTACAAAGAATTCAGCTGTCCATGGTCCAAAATCTAGTTTTGATACTGCACAGCTGCAGAATTTTGGCAGAATTGTAAGAAAGATGTTTAATTGTGAAAAAGTACAAAGATGTTAGCCATGCAAAATAAGAAAGAGAAAACTGGAGGAAGAGGCAAGATTAGCACAGCCATTCTTTTTTTGGCCTAACCTATTCCTTTTCTTCTGCAGTGTCAGCTCACCCAGACCCTCCTCCCCCTGCACTTTCTGTGTGAAAAAGAATTGGAGCAGATCTCATTAGTAATAGACTGGAGAAATGTTTGCTGGTTTAAGTGTGGAAAAAAGTGAGCTGAGAAAGAAAGTTAGAAAAAAAAAAGGACCAGTACTCTTGAAGTAAGAGCTAACAGTAATTTCTGTCCAAAAATATTTCTCATCAGCAATGTGCATAGAAGAGTAAGGTTGTGTTTTGAACACAGGTATGAAGATCAGTGCCGTTGACCAACCTCTGCTCTCACTTCCCTGAAACTTACACAAGAAGCTTGTGATAGAATAGTAAATCATGATTCCATGAGGTAAACAGAGGAGTGATTTTTACTCTAGTCTTGACGACTACGGGAAGAACTGACAGGAGAAAAAAACACTGAATTTGTCGAACAGAGGCTTAGTGTCTCTCCTGCATCTTGCACCAAATCGCAATTTACCGCTATTTGATTTAACTGGATTGAGACGGGCGTAGGGATGTTTCAGTTAATTTAGGTTTTGTTTGTTTGTTTTAGTAACAACGGAAAAGTCATGGCGATCTAACCTGCTGAGGTCTGGAATTTTTTTCCTCCTCGGAGTATAATGCTACACCATCGCTAAGATGTTGTTTGAAGGTTCTTCATCTGTTTCTTTGACTGCTGTTTCTTGACAGAGATGCAATTATGAAGTTAATGGAGTAGTCAAGTGCTACACGTTGAAAGTACCCAAGAACCTGCAAACAAATGCTGTCTGCCTAAGCAATCTGCATTATGTGAACAGCTGTGGTTCCTGTGGAATATATGATAAAGTCTTCTTTTATTCTAGTTATAAAAGTGAATGATTGCAGTCCATCCCGGAATGCTGATGAGACACCCTTCTGACTGATGGAGCAGGCAAGGGAGAACTGGCTCTGCTCCATCTACAAATTTTTGATTTCTGGTTGCTCTACTCATTTTTAATTTTTTTTTTTTTTTTTTTTTTTTCTTGCATCTAAATTTTGGGTAGAAGCAGAACTGTTGCTGAAGTATATCAGCCTCAAAGGTCTTGCTGCCAAATTATACCTCTGCCAAGGAAATATTTATTTTATGTTTTTTGGCAGGGGGGAGGTGGAGAGTGGAGAGTTGTTTGGTTTTTTTTTTAGCATTTGGGAGTAAGAGAAGAAAAACGTGGAAGACTCAGGAAAAGCTCAAAACAACTAAGAGAACTACTACACCAATGTTATCCTGTCTAGTTGCATTTCTTGAACTTAACTGTAGCAAAATGTATTTTGCAGCCTAACATGATGTGTTCTGTACACCTGCCTTCTGCTGAGCTGAGCTCTCAGATGAAGAGTTCAATATTAGAGTTGCCAGAAGAAGCAACCGGTAAAGGGGCACTTAATTTCATCAATGAAAATTGTTCACTATATTAGGGAATGTTTTGTTTTTTTAATTAAAACGTTTTTTAAATCAAAAAGTGTAGATGCACACAAAAGTAGGCAGTCCCAGCAGTTGTAGGCATGCAACCTGACCAGTTTAGAATTTAATTCAAAATTTTCATTAACATTTATTTATAAACACGTGATTTTAAATATATATATATATATAAAATTTAGAAGATATATGAACCCTGAAATAGTATTAAAGTTGCCCCTTGTAAGAGGCTATGTCTCACTATGAAAATATCTTTTTGTTCTTCTTTTTTAACATCTTATTTCATATGCTTCTCTCTCCTTTGCAGTTCTGAGCGTTGAGGAAAAGCCTATCTCCCTGAAGTCACCTAGCACTGATTTCACACTCTGGCTATCCTGTATTGGCTGTAATGGGGGAAAAAATTAATTTTTTCAAGTTTTTTTTTTTTTTTTTTGGTAAGTTATTCGTAGAAGAAGTGAAGCATTATCTCCTTTTCAGGGGACGTGCCCTTTTGTGTTTCTATTTCCATGAGAACCACGGGAAAGAAGCTCTTGTAATAGCTGCTCTTGCTTATGTTTGTAGGAATGGGAAGGAGGACCCCAGCTGGTAGCGTAAGCTCTGACACCTGCGTGCCATCCTTTGAGATACTCAGCAAGTCTTTCCGTTTCTATGAGCTGTATTTCTCCCTCTAAACTGCAGCTAGTAACTTCGATCTTTTATAATTCCTGTACCGGTTTGCTCTGTCAGGCCTGAAATGCAGCCATGTGTGATTCAACCAAACCAGTGGCAGTTTTGGTGCTTGTACACTTTCTTGCTTTTGCTGCTCCCTACTCATATTAAGAGAGTGCACTCTGAACTATATCAGGAAGCCAGCTCAGAAAGCATACTGTTTTTTTTTTTTTTTGTTTTGTTTTGTTTTGTTTTTCTTTTTCAGGGTTTGAATAGCACAGTGAGCACCACTAGGTTCACAAATTTCTGCAAAGAATAGACACCATACAAAATACTGAACTTTTGTCAGCACAGCTAGGCTCCTTGTTTAACATCTGAAGGCAGGTTTCATCTTAAATATTTTCTATTAGGGAAGTGGTTTTGTCTTACACTTTTTTATGTTATTGAAGTGCTGGATTTTTAGTAATACCTATTTTGTTGATGAAGGTAGGTGCGCCCCAGTGCCTTCTATACCAGATGGAACAGGGATTACAGAAACTCATGTTGCATTACTGCAAGAGAAACTCGGAAATGAAAGCCAGACTGTGACACAGAAGAGATTACAGAACTGAAATTGCATAGTGAATGGAAGAACAGGATTTTGAGTAGCTCTTTATTTTTATCTCTTCTGAAAAAAAAAACCAGTGACTTTAGCTATTAACTATGCTAATGTGGTTGAAGTGTGCTTTTATATGGTGGTAGATTTATCTAAAAGAAGAAAAAGACATGGAGCTTTCCTCCCTAATCAGTACATACTTTCTATCAACTATCCTGTAGATACTGTGTGAGATTTATGCTGCTTATGCATGAGTCTGTGCACATAAATGTAATTTCTTTTTCCATATGGGAGCCTTTATGTGTAGAGTGCAGCAATAAGACAATGTGTAATGATTTTAAACTGCAAGAGATTAGGCTTAGATTAGACGTTTCGAAGAAATTCCTGACTGTGAGAGCAGTAAGGCACTGGCACAGGAACACAGAACAGAGAAGATATGATATCCCCATCCCTGGAAGCATTCGAGGTCAGACTGGATGCAGCTTTGAGCAGCCTGACGTAGTGCAAGGTGCCCCTGCCCACGGCTGTTGGAGCTAGATGATTTAAATCATTCTGTGATTCTAAAATATTTCTCTCTTTTTCCCTTTTTCCAATTGAGTAGTATTGAATCTCATGAAGATGAAATCACAGAAGATCTTGTTGAAAGAAAGATGAGATATCCTGAGTTTGCTTTCATTTAATTTAAGCACTTGGTGTGAAAACCTGCCAAATTTATCTGTCAAATTGTCACCCAAAGATACTAGTGATGGCTTACTTTGAGAGCAGAGATGAAATCCAAATTTTTTCTCACTTCAGGGCAAAATCATTACGATGCATCTAATTCAGTTACAGCACACTGTTAATTACATTTTCTGAGGTAAAAATCAACAATGTTGTCTGTATTTGCCACTAAGTCTTGAAGATATTCCAGACTGAAGACTCTAAGCAATATCTTAATTGAATGTATCATTTAACTGCCATTTTACTCTGGTTCCACCTTTATTTGAGGATATTTTTATGTGAAGACCAACTTAAAACGCAGAAATATTGTATCCAAGATGGATGAGGAGGTTGTTATATATTTGTGGATTTTGCTTCACAACACATCTTGAGAAGTTCTGAAATTTATTGCTTATCTCATACCGTTAATTTTAATGGGAATCTGGATTTTAGTTCCCATTGTTAAGTTTGAGAATTGGCTGTGACGAAAGGGCTTGCAAAGCTAGAGTTGATGTATGGTCAGTGAAATACTATTTGTCAAGGCGTAGCTCAGGAAGGTCACTTTCAATGCTCTTTCATTACCATACCCTGCAACGTGCTGCATTTAGGACATGGCGAGCCATTACTCACAAGCACGCTGCACAGAGCAAGGCCAATGTTTCACTGCATCTCCAGGGTGGTTGTAGTTGTGTTAGCTGGCGTACTGGATTCCCTGGAGCAGATGCTTAACAGCGCAGAGCATTTTCTGCTAAGTGTTCTGGGCTGGGATGTCCAAGCAGTAGCACAGCAGTTGTCAAATGTGTATTCCTTCTGGGTATTCATAGCTGTACCTTTGTCTCTTCAAGGACAGAACTATTATTGCTATTACATTCATGTATATCCTTCCTTCCCTTGGTACGCAGAAATTGAAGACCTATAAGGACTTCCTTTTTGCACGTATCTCTTTTTGAAACAATGTTTGAATTAGGAAAGCAATACAAGGACTGGATTTCTTTTTTAAAAGTCATTATCTAGAGCCCTTATCAGCACTGATACGGGACTCTGATGCATTAACCTTCAAGGATGAAATTCTCCAAGCCTGCTTTTTACACAAAACAATTTTGTTTTAAAACATTTGAAGTGTGAAAACGCTTCTGTTGTTTCTGTTTATAGAAACAAGTCACCTTTGACCAGAAATGGAAAAATTCAGTATGGAAGATAATGGTTCAGCAACAACAACAAAAAAATCTGTCACTGCCATGACATTGACAGCAAAATCTGTAACTTTTATGTGTTGTTTTTTTTTTTTTTTGATCTTTTTTTTAAATTAAGTTGTTGGAGAAAAATTTTGATTGAATTGGTCCAGATTGAATCTAGTCATAAAGCAAAATGCATTTTTTTTTTCTGTGGAGAGTTCTGCTATGATAAAATGTTTCTCAATCAAAATGAGCTAAAAGTGAAAATATTACAGCTTTGTCAAAAAGCTGGAAATATTTTACTTCACAAATTGGTACCTTGCATTGGTGCTGATATTGCTCTCCCAGAAGTTAGGGACTTCAGTGGCTGTGAAGACCATAAAATGTGACTGAAGATCCTTTGTCCTCACCTGAAGAACAAAAGATTGGGACTGGATTTTGGCGCTGTTGTTCTTTTCTTGGAAAGGATTGCAGGAAGTGATAAAGCTGGCAGGAAAATTGGTGTCTGAGTTCTGGTAACCCATTTCTGCTGGCAGAATGAGGAGATAAACACAGTACAACCTTGTGGGATAAGGGGAAGAAGATTGGAATAAAGAAATGAAAATTGTGCTGGGGCCCCTGTTCCAGCAGCGACCACTACCTTATTTACCTCCAGTTTCTCTCTCTGACTGGCAGCAGGCAGTGGCTTCCATGGATTTGGCACAGGCAGAATAGGAAGAAAAGGAAAATGCATAATTAAATTTTGCAATTGGCTAATGCCATGTGCCCTCTGTTAGTGGGATAGAAAAGAGTCAAGTCTATACTTCTTTACATTTTTTCTGTTTGGGTGGTCAGATGTGTCCTAGACAAGCACTAACACGTTGTTTTCTTCTTTATACCTTCTGTGCAAACAATGAGATGCATATTCTAATCTGTGGCTCAGTCTAAACCATGCAATTTCTTGAGAAGTTTTCCAAGCCCTGAGCTTCTAGCATTCGTTCTTTAATATGAGAAGGTGGCCAGGCCATGCTAATTCTTTCATTTTTCTTTGCAATTAAGATGTTTCTGGTGTCATGTGAAGTATGTCTGACTTCTCAGAGATGTCAGAATCACAGTAGGATGACTTTGATTGTTTACACTCTAGCTTATAACAGTCAGAAGATGAATTCCCAAATCCATCTGTGGCTATTTAAAACCTCTGGAAGAATAACCCGTAGAAAACATGGACTGCTGAATTAGTCAGTTTTGCTCATTGTTATATAATTCTTTTCTCATGTCATATTCATCAAAACATGTTTCTTAACATGTCCTTGCACCATTCGGAAATGAACATGATTGCAAATTATCTCTTTGTTTTTGACAACATACCTTCCTCTTGTTTCAACAACAAAACTAGAGGTGGTTTTGGATTATTTATTTATTCTGTGAAATGACTTTGAACCTCTTCACATTGCCTGTTTGCTGTCCACAGTGCAAGACAGATGAGCTTGATGCAGATACATCTCAAAGTTGGAGTGTACGATGCCTCTTGATCAACTTCTGAGCCAGCCTTTCTGCCTGGATCTTTACAGTCTATCTCTGTCCAGGGAATACAACAACAAAACTTTGCCATGAGAGAGCCTACAAGCTGGGAAGGTACCTCGCACGGAAGCAGCTGCCCTGAGGAGCACTCATGAGAACGCCTGCCCTGGGCATGGTAGGACTGCAAGATCTGAGATAAGGCTTCAACACCGTTGCTAACTGGAGAAATACTCTTTCCAACAGCTGCTCAATCCAGATTTCAGCATCCATTCCAGCTACTGATAATTTTATCCTCAGTATAGCTTTAATTAACTGTGTTGTACACCATAGTAGATCTACCTTGTTAAACTGCTGCTCTATGTTTCAGTGGAAATGCTAAAAGAGACAGATAAAATAATTTTGTTACGTGGTTACGAGACTCTCAATTTGTTAAATTTGCCAGCTGCTGTGGGAGCCTATGGGATGGAAGGTATCATATAAATACAAAAAAGTGTTATTATTTACCTGAATGACTCTATTCTCTCCCCCTATCCGCCCTAACCCCCTTTTTTAAAATATACTTATTTTTTATATTTCTTTCCTGCATTTTGTTCTCTATTTGGATGGTTTCTTCAAGTCCCCAGCTGGAACTACAATCATAAGTTCTCTAAACTCAGGTATCAACAGCCCTCACATTTTTCTGACCTTCGTTAGGCAGTTATTTACCTGACCTGTTTTGCTTGTTATTCAATCTTTCTGTCTTCTGCAACTAATTCCAAGGCAATTTGAACTTCAAATGTTTTTCACTCAAGCTGAGTTTAAGCATGTACATTTGGATCACTGTGCTTAGGGAGTCCAGTTTGTCTTCTTGCACTCAACAGATACACTGTTTTTCTCCATGTCCAAGGATTAATTACAAACAGCTGAAATAGAAATTCCTGAAGAAGGACTAATCCTGATGCGGATGCATGGAAGAGAGATATGAGGCAGCAGTCCAGTAAACCTCCAGCTTGAAGCTTAGTTGCATTTAAATGCCATAATTCCTGGAGCCAACTCAAACTATCAATCAGAATCCTGTCAGTCTAAACAAGTCTGAAGCTTGAAAATTTTGCTTTCTTTGGCATTTAATTTTCCCTTGGAATCCAAATCTCAGCTTTAGTTAGGTTTTCTCATGCAAAAAGGGTTACATTCATGTCCAGCTTTGAGATGTATTGTGGTAGTGTTCTGATCTCTGAGAAGTTTGAGCTCCAGCTTGTAGACGTAAGAATGAGCAGAGCCAGCCATTCTCAGAAGGGTCACTAGAACCATTTCACATGTCTCTCATCAGTTCACAAAGCATCACTTCCTTATTTCTTTAAGTAAGGACAAAGGAAATCCAGCTGTGGATGTTAGAGGGCTTATCATTTCTTTTTAAAAGATATTGAAAAAATATTAGTGGTAAAATATACCATTGTTAAGTAACTATGGATCTAAGATTCCTGAACTTCAAAGACACTGTATAGTACTTATGAAACTATGTAGTTTTTCATCTGAAAGCCAGTGCTTCGGGCAAAGGTTGCAAGGTTAGCGAAAAAAAAATCATAATTGATCAAATATCCACAATAGAACATAACAACGTAATTGTAAAGGCAAAAAAGTTTATCAAATGGGTCACATCAACAAGGTAATAGAGATATCTAATGGACAAAGAAGGAACAAAAACAGATGCGTAGCTGTTAAGGTCTCTAAAATACGTGCCATGTGGTTGATTTGAGTGCGGAGTATACAAAGCAGTGTCAAGATCGATAGTTTGCTTTCAAACTGGTTCATGACCAGTAGATGACAGAGAGTAAGTCAATAAGTGAACTTGAAAAATTAAGCATCAAGATGCCAAGAGCAAGAACAAGACAGCAGCTAATAATGATCTCTTGTTTTTACTGGGTATCTTAAAAGGAGGGAGTGGAACTCACCAAGCCAAATAGTTAAATGGGAATATGGTACTTCAACAAGTAATGGGAACAAACGATGAAATCAATAATCAATATATAGCGCTAATGTCCAGAAATTTACATAAGACAATCAAACCATATTTTTGTCTTTTATGTTACAATGTATAATTCTATATTATATAGGCACATAAGCGTGTGTGTGTGTCCCTCCAATGAAGTTCATTCTTTCTGTTTTGACACAATGTTCATTTCATTGTAACATATTAATCACGCCTTCAGGATAATAAATGCCTAAGTAAAATTTATTTTGAAATCTCAGCTTCCAATTTAGGAAGTTCTTCTGCAATCTTTAACATTTCTAGATTGTCTGTAGGTATACATTGTCACACTTGAAGATTTTATGTCTGTAGATGAATTTCCATCATCTTCAAAACAATTAGTAAAAGAACAAATGGTGGTTGTTACTGAACTACATCTTTAGCACCAAGCTCTAATGCTTGAGCTTCTTTGCTCATAACTGTCAAATCATAGGTATCTGGGCTAATTTACAGGTGGACAACCGTATGCCTTGCTATCACCAAGAGGAAATTGTTCAGAAGTTGTAGGGTTGGGGGGGGGGGGGGCAGATGGAGAGATGTGCTACACCAATACCCAAAATAAGGTCTGTAACAAGTAATAAAAAACTCCACTAACTCATTGACTGCAACTCTGAATACTTGCTTCCCAAGGGGGAGAAGGGGAGCATTTTTAGTTTTTTTATAATCACAGCTAGCCAGAAAGGCAGTTATTTTTACAATACCCTTCTGAGCAATGCAGTCTGTACGAGAATGAAGAATCCAAAGAGAATGCCTTCACATCTCTGTGATTTTCATCATGGTTCAGTGTTTCTGAAGAGCTCAGCATTACAAAAGTGACACCAATGAGGTGCTGTGAGGTAAGAAATGCCTATACCACACTTTGTGCCATTCCTTTTATTTTCAGTCAGTCAAGCATCCCCATGGCGAGCAACGTGTTGATGCTTGCATGCTGAGCCATACGTTTGAAGATGGAATTTAATCGATGCAGGGTCAGTTGCTGGGCAGCAGCAATGCTTTGTGCTCAGTTCATGTTGCTCAACATCTTGGCAGACATACAGCTGTGTGTTTAATGTGTGGCTGACCACCTGTGCCCATTCGCGTAGCTCTGGGCCACATGGATGGAGCTACTGGTCAGCAAGAAGGAAGCAGAGCTGGGTTTGAACAAGGGGGGCAGCAGGGGGGGCTGGGTGCCGCTTCTGGCTACCTAAGGGGGTGGTCAAGGGGAGACAGAGACAGGCTCCTGGCAGCAAAAGCATAAGAGGCCACTGGTGCCAGTGACTGCGAGGGAAATCCCTGACAGTGCCCTCCATCACTGACTGCCCACACTGCCCAACCAGGGTGCGGATATAGGGCAAGAGCATGCTTAGCCCTGGGAGTGAGCATCAGGCTGGGAAGCGAGCTTCTCCAGCTCTCCATTATTTACAATAACCATACTTAAAAACGTCACCTTTTTGCGCTTGTAAGGGTGGCAGTGGGGCCAGTCAGGCTGAATAATGGGATGGGCATTTGCTGGGGGCTAGTGCTGTGGTTCGATATGCTGCTGGGACTGGTAGGCTGGGAGCAGAGGAGGGCTGGCTCACCCCGTGGATCTTTAAACGCCGGCGCTGCAGACGCTCCATGGGATGAGCTGTGCGTGTGCCGGTCCTGCGTGGAGCGACTGTGCAGGGGGAAGGGAGACACTCTCAGCTGAACCTCAAACGTAAGTAGAGGGGGCAGGCTTGGGGAAGCGGGAGCCTGGGGAAGTGCAGAGAAGCGGGAAGGGAGCCTTTGTCTCCTGCTTTGTTTACTGAAGTGTGCTGTATGTATTTGTCTTTGAAGAAAGAAAAAATCTCAGAGAGATTTTGTTTTCATTCGTTGAATTCTGATCACTATTTTGGGCAGCTGACTCAGATCTCCACAAAGGAAAATACGGGAGTTATGTGCCGTTCTGTCTAGATTTTTAAGATGGATTTGGAGTTTAGCTTGATGGGAAAACCCTGGCTGTGCTGAAGCAGATGTAGCAGGTGATTGCTCATGCCGGTACTTGTCTCATCATCATGATCTCGTTGATTAAACCTTACTGTAACATGATCATTAATGCTTGGAAAATTTTAATGGGAAGAGAAATATCGAGTGAAATCTTACAGCGGATTTCAGAATTGTTATCCTTTTGGAGTCAGTTAATGTAAAGTGACCTAAATGGCACGCTGCATGGAGGTTTGTTGGTTGTTTATATGTATGTATGACTTGGAATATTTGAAAACATTCATGGAGAAAAGAGGATTTGCTTGTGCATTGCAAGTAGGTTACGATGCAGAAAACTGTGATGCTTCCTAGATTGGAGGAATTAGTGTGCTACTGTTCTTAAGCCCCTTATCTTATGTATCTGTGATCTCATAACCTAAAATGCACAGAATTTAGGATGAAAGATTTCCTACTCAATCTTTGATAACTTGACTGCACTCAATTAGTGAATCCAGCTCTGAGGTTTAAAGAAATATACCGTGAAAACTGCCTTCTTTTTCTATCAATTATCACACAAGTTATAAGTGTCAGAGAAAGTTCAGCATGGGGAGGGAAGCTGTGGATGCTATCTCATTCAACAAGTCTTTCTTCTAGAGTAAATCAGAAGGAAGGAAATTGGAGCAAGCTTTTTGTAGAGCTGGCTTGGCTTGAAGTGATATCTGGATAGCTAAATAATGGTTAAGCGTACTGGAGTTTGAGCCTGTAACTCCTAACTCAAAATCAAATCATTCAGGCTCATTGACTGTGTTCTGGCACCAACCGAGCTATTCCTTTCTAATTGATTTTGCTTTTTTTAATCACATTTTTATTAGGGTGGCCGCATGGGTTATGTATGCTGTTAAACTTTAGAGAAAGTTTCCTAGAAAATCCAACTTTTTTTTCCTGGCATCGTATACTCAGCGTGTTTTGAACTACTTCACGTTCTATGTTAGTTTTCTTGGCATAATGACAGCCTTGTAAAAAGATGAATATGTGCACATACACCTCAGTAAGGACATCAAGAGATTTAAAGTTGAATATTTTTGATATTACTTGCCCACATTGCATCTAGGAATTTCAAAGGTTGCAAATTATTCCCTGCATGATGTCTTGTGTTTTCAGTGTGCAGGTCCCCAAAGAGGGTGACTGATTGCAGGTGTCTGCCTGAACCCAGCATGTCTTTGCCAAGCAGGATTCATGAAAGTCAACTGATAGACAACTTACACATTGTACCCTCTCAAAGCACTAGAAATAGATTTGTGAATTTTAGGTTTAGCCTGATAGCAAGCCTTTTGAACTGATAGTTGTTATTTTGACATTTACCATACAAATTGGTAGAGTACTCTATGGAGCTGTTAAGTTCAACAGACAAGAAAGACTGGAAGGCTTGAATGCTGGGTGAGTATTTATGCCTGATGCCCATGAATGTTTGCATGCTGCTATTGGCACAGCTGTGTTGCCAAAGAAATCCCTGGTCAGGTGAAATGAAGTCCATGCTGATTGGCTGTTAACGTGCATAACTTAAAAAGCTGAAGCTAGTTTAGAGTTGATAGAGTAGTGGGAAGGAGCACTACTGGGTAGAGTTCCTTTTTGTACTTGGTAAGTTAGTGTATGAAGAGGGACCTAATATCAGGTGAGAAGGAAATTTATTTATTTTTGAATTATGAAGAGAGCAAAGTATTTCCATTGAACCTTCTGTAGACAATGATGCTTGTGATCAGTAAATTATGTACTTTTCTTTGTTGTTGCATACCTACTTTCTTATGTATCTGGTAATTTTTACCACAACTTTTTTTTTCTTTAAAGTGAAAATTCTGCTAAAGTTCAAATAATGTAGTTTGTTGAACTTTTACTACGATGGAAGAACTTTCTTCATTACACGGAAGACTGAGCATTAGCAAATGAGTTAAAGGTGAAGGCAGCAGCAACAGAGAGCCCCTGGGTTAGTGGCACTGACTGGGAAAGATCTTGTGACACTGCTGCAGGTTAGTACCAGTCAGTCACTTCTAAAGAAGCTGACAAGGAAAGGCAGCTTGCCTTTAATGCCAGTGGGTTGCCAGATGTGCCTGCAGTCCCTCCTCAGCAGTGCATAAGGGGGCAGAATGATGGTGTTCTAGGTAATGTATCAAGACCTTTAGATAACCCATTTGCAATGGAACTATTTCATGTTCCCTGATAAATGCTATGAAATAGCTTTATAATGTTATTATTAGCTCAGTGGTTGTCGTGAATGTAACCTGATCACAAAGGAAAAACAAACTAAATACAGAAATCAACTGCTTTTGTGGAATTGAGTGGACTGAAAAGGTTTAGTATAGGCTCAAACTTGAGGCACGAGCAACACTTTGCTAGAATTTCTGTCATTTGTTTGTTTTGGGAGACTGCTGCGTATCAGTTCACCAGCTTGCTTATGTACTCTTTAAAAATATAGGTTCAGAAGGAGCTGTTTTTTATCTCAAATAAGAGGGACAACGCGACAAGAAATCTGTGGGGACTTCCTGTGGCTTTCTGATTCAATGCAGAAAACAGGCTTACACCTAACCAACTTGAGGGCTTTTATTTTTATTTTTTTTCTTTCCCTTCCCCCCCTTTTTTTTTTTTTTTTTTTTTTTTTTTTTCTTCCTTCTTTCAGCTCGTAAGAGGAAGCTGGCTTGTACTGAGATTTTCTCTTCTGGTAGCTTCTTACAGTGTTTCAAACCGAAGTTGCAAAGGGGATACATGAATTATTTCAAATGTAATCCATATCTAGGGATAATTATGCAGACAAGAAGATTGTGTCCCAGTATGGGTGTGCTAAAACTTTCATTACGTATTGTAGGGTCTTGAAAAGTAGTCTGTGAAAGTTGTTTAGAGGAAAAAATAATTCTCAACATTGTTGAAACAAGGGACTACATTGGATCTACTATTCTGTTGTCCTGATGCTTCTTCAGATCCCAGTGAAGTCACTTACCTTTATGAGAGATGTCGTTGCTTCCTCCAAAGCTAGTGATGTTGGGAGATAACTAAGTTTTTTTGTTTGTTTGTTTTTTGAGACATAGAGAAGTCACTTTTAATATTCCCACCAAATGTAGTATTATTTATAAGACTCTGAGTCCCTGGGTTGCTGTAATTGCTCTCTAATTATGTCCATATCACAGTTTCTTAACAGTTTGTCATTGCTGCTCAAATCTTCCCTTGAAATATTCTTCAGTACTGTAGTAACTTGTTAATCTCAAATACATTTGTCAGTTACAATTGTTCTTATGAGTAAGTTTATTTTTCTAGCATTGCCACTCTACAACACCTGGAGGAAAAGAAACAGAATAAGTTAATACTTTTTTTGTCTTTCAATAGTAATTGAAATAACCTTTAATTCCACTTACGTTCTAGTACCTTAATTTTTTTTTAATTTGCCTTGTGATGTTGCATTCCTGACATCCTGAAATATTTTTAGGTGGGAATGGTGGCTGTCAAGTCTCAACTCCTGTTTCAAGAGTGGGTAACTTCAATATTTTGATATTTTCTGTGAATGACGATTGCTCTGCCTCCCTGTTTTAGTGCTTCACAGATCTCATTGGGCACTTTGTCAGCTGCAATTTGTCAAACAATCTGAAGCAAGGACCTGAGTGCTGAAGAGTTCATAAGAAGACCACTGTGTTTGAATTTAGCAGATCAAGAACTGCAGACCAATGTTGCATGTGCTGTACTTTCTGCGTTCTTTCCCTGAGCATCTGCTGCCAGATGTCATAAGAAAAGTGTGGGAGCTGCTGGAGCTCTACTCTGATTCATTTTAGTAGTTTTCACATGTACAAAATACAAAATAATGCACATGGCATCCAAAAAGTGGAGATTTGCTTGAAGTTGTCCTTTCTACCCATGACCAAAATTTCTAACAGATTTCCCAAACTGGTTCAAAATGTTTCTGGTATCAGGCATTCTATTAGCAAAGTCATCAGGGAAACATAGGCAGTGAATTCTCTGGCAGAACTGCAGATGTTTACACTCAACTAGAAAAAGTAAAAGTGACGTGTAACTGAACTGCAGCTTGTATTAAAGACGCGTTCATTACATTTCCTTCATCGTTCACCATGAACAATTCCTAGTGAGTTGCAGAATAAAAATATAAATAGCAGATGATTTGGCAGCAATTGATAATTTTTTTGATAAGTTTTAAACTAGCGTTATAAGCTCTATAGATATCAACTCAATTAACTTTTTAATTAGCGGGAATCATTATTTTGAAATACCTCCTCTAAAAGTTATTATTAGTTTTTTGGTTTTTTTTTTTCTTTCTTTTTTTATTGCAGAAGGCATAAAGATAAGCAAATGCTTCCATGGGATCTCCTGTAAGTTGCAGGACATGATTTGCAAAGCAGTTCTTGCATGCAGACCCCTGGGCCGCATCTGTGCAGGTCTCCTTGAGAAACGAAGCAGTGCAGTGAAAAGACTTCTGATGTAAGAGACAATGGGTAAGGCCAGAGGTGGCTGGTGAAGGATTCCCTCTCTGGGTTGCCAAAAGTAAGGAATATATATATTTTTCTCAAATAAAATACAACTAGATAGTTTTGAATGCATACTTTGGCTACTTGAAACTCTCTGACGCAACAGGCCAAGTTGTTATGACAAAGATCAGAATTTCAAAATGTAGTTACTCATGGAAACGCAGTAACAGTCCTCACCATGCTCACGATAAAAGTAGCAAGGTGTGGGCATCACACTTACATGCCACTGCTATGGTGCATAAATGATTTTTCCCCAAAGACTGCAAAAGTCATCATCACGGTTTAACAGCATATGCTTTTTAAAATGTTTTCTAGCTAGAACAACATACTCATTAATTTTTGCTTCATTCTCCTGTGTTTAGCACTAACCTGTTCCCTCATGGACGAAACAAATATGCACTGAGATGTGATAGTTCAGATAATCAATGCTGGTGCTGCATCAAAATTGTGTTTGTTCAGTCTGCTACCTCCCTAGGCAGGCGAAGTCTGTGCTGGTGTTTGGGTTGTATTTGAGCACGCATCTGATCATTCAGATCAGGGGTTTATGACCAAGGGAATAATGTGGTGGGACTCTCCAGGACAAAGGAGCGTATGAGCATGCAAGAGGTGAAAAGGGGAAGGTGGACTGAGCCCCAGCTCAGTTGGGTATTAACAGCTTCCTGGGGTGGGCTTCTATTTACTTGTTTTTTCGACTCAAAGGATATCCAGACACACGAGTGTGCCTACCTTGATGAGCAACTAATAGGTTTATTCTCAAGATACTGACAACTTACAAATACTATAAAATCAGCAAAAACTAAGTTGCTTTCTTTTGGATTTTCTTGTTTGTTTTGTTTTTTTCCTAATGCCTCACATGAATGTTGTTTGATGGGTTGCAAGTACAAGAAGTTTAAGTACAGATAGCTAGGACCTGGAAAAAAAGCATCTTTCTAAATATGTGACCTTGAGGCCATCTAGACAAACTAATGGGATCTCATCCCAAGGAGACAGTTGGCATTATTTCCATCTCTGTAAATACCCAATATTTGAGGCACACAGACGTGCCTTTGGTCCTTTTCATTTTGCCCCAGGCTGGCACTTCTGCACTGAATTATTCTGATGACACAGCACAGAATTTTCCCAAATGAGCCTTGGAGTCAAGTAAGAAATGTGTTTTCTCAGCTGTCTGTCCAGTTCAGTAACAGCCCAGAAATACATTCTACAATGGCATTAGTCAGATACAAATTCTCCTGCAGCAAAAATACCCAGTCTTTTTTTTTTTCTTTCCCCCTAATATCACAAATGAGCTGACACTGGATTTTTAGAGAAAAAAAATTCTCCTTGGATATTCCAACAAATCTTGATGGATAATTGCATACCCACATACAACTTCAATCTTCAAGAAAAATACTCAGACTGCAGTTGTTCCTTCTTTCTCTTCTCCCCCAATTTTCTGTCCCCTTTTTTTGCCCTTCTCCTCCTCTTTGGCATCATCTCTGTTTTGCACTGTATGCGTCTGCAAGGCAAGCACCGTGTAAACTAATGATATCTATCTGAATGAGTACTAGCCTGTATCTGGCCCGCAATGCTCAACTGCCTCTGATAGTTGACCTGTTGTGAGGAGCTATGGCAGTTCCTCTCCTTGTCTGTTGCCTTTGGATGAGCTGCATCACAGTTCAGCTTACTAAGCTAACTATCATTTCAATCTGCACTGTAAATGTGTGCTGGAGTGCTCCTGGTATGAACTGATTGGAATGAACTGTGGAAGAAGAGTGTCACCTGGAGACCCGTAGGAAAACTAACTTTTCCATTTGTGGATGATCACTGTTTTGACTCTCTGCAGGTCAAGTTAATTTCTACTTACTCTGCATTTATACTACAGTCAACCAAAACAAGCCAAGTTGTTTTGCTTTTATTTTTTTTAATACCTGAAATAACTAACAGTATTTTCCATAATTGCTTATTATTCATGAAGTATCTGACCATTACTTGCTCAGCTATTGTTACCAGCTAGCAACCGTCTTCTATTTGTTGATTCAAGATTTCATGCATACAAGATAGTCATTAAGCCCCACATTTTGTTGTCGTTTCAAACCAGATGGTACTTCTTAATGAGTCAACATCTTCCCGTGACCCTCAGTGAATTAAAAGCAACTTGGCGACTGTTTCCTGGTGGCTGCTTCGATTGCATGAGCTGTCTGTACAGGAAATGCAGGCTAATGTGTTGATTGCTCCCGTCCTGTCATGCCTGAACATTATTTGTTGTTTTCCTTTAAATTTTCAAGCTGTGATTGTATGGATGTAAGGACTTCTTGTTTAGTAAAATTAAAGTCTTCTTTAGGAGCCTGTGTAGTATGTGAGCACAGAGAAGGCGCTCTGCTGTTAATTCACTTTCTTGCTAGTTCACATTAATCCTCTATGTAAGTGAGCCTGTTCTTAAGCTCATTTCACTGTAAATCACCTCCACAAGATGAGCTTGCTTCAGTGATCAAGATCAGAGCACAAGTAAGGCTTTAGATACTGTTGTATCCATGTAACACAGATCACATCACCATTTCTGGATTTGATCAGTTGTTTCTTACCTGTTGATTGAGAACATCCCTCCCCTTTCCATTTTAATCTTTTTTTTTGCTTTCTGCATTGCAAGCTTTGTTAATCTCACCAGCTGGCAAGCAGAAACAGATGGCTCTAATTACTTAGACATTATTTAATCACTAAAAATCAAATTTAAATATCTCTCATGGAATAACATTCCCCATCTGTTACGTCTTCCATTTTTATTTTTTGGTGAAAGAGACCAAGTTTATTTTTCTGATGCCTCCTTCTTTTGCCAGCTACTTGAGGGACAGCTGTTAATTTTTTTATCTTTCATTTGCTTGCAGAGCTGTTAGTTGCCCTTCCAAGAAAGGCCTCCAAGCAGCTACGGAGGTGACAGCTTTTTGATGTCATAGTCTCATCTCACATAAGGGTACGACCTCATTGTGACTGATGCGAGTTGTCAGGTCCAACATTTCGAACGATCAAAATGCAAGCGATTGTAAAATTAACTTAGAACAAGCCAAAGAAAGTCAACGCAGAGCAGGAAAGAGTGCCAGAAGCTGTCCCTGGTGCAATTACTGGCATTTTTCAGATTGCTTGTTTACATTTCTGCTTCTGAGTGGGACGATCAGATCACTATGGACGTTGTCTCTAAGATCTACACTCATGAAATGGTTGTGTCTTTATCGCAGCCCTTGCGTTTCTTCTCAAGTTACCAAAAGGAGAAAGAAAAGCCAACCCAGGTGATAAATGAATAGGTGAGAGCGTTTTACGTGAACTCTTGAAAACTTGTATCACCCATTAAGGATTCAATATATTGGCTGAGCAAAATATCAAGTGTTCCTTCGTTATCTTTTCAACCGTGCCATTACAGAGAATGAGCCAGATTGGCTTATACAAAACAGGCTATTCACCCTGCTTCACGTGACCATGGCAGTACAGAGTTTCCATTAAACACAATTTATCTGACTAGTTGTGCTGAGTCAAGAGCAGCCTTGTATATTCTCAGCAGTGTGAAAAGCCAAAGCTGAGGAGAACTTCCTGCACCGTGTCTTTAAGCTCTGTAATTTTGCAGGCTTCTCAACTGCATGCTCAGGAGGTCTAAGTTCACTGCTCGTGACATGAAAATACACAGACTGAATTAAAGCAGAGCTTATACCATTTTCCTGCTAAAAGAGGCTAATATAAACTAAACCTGGTAAGACTACAATGATGATTGCACTGAATATGACCTATTGTGCTTAGTTGCTGTTCTGGTTACTGAGTCATCTGGAAAAAACTGTAGCAGTTACATTCTTTTTCTTGGTGTTGAAGTGGAAGAAATTTGAAAAATTCTGTTGTAGTTTAATTTTATTCTTATTTTTCATGAGAAATTAAAATTGTCAGAAAAAAACATACAGAGTAGTAATAATAAAATCAGCTTCTCATTACAGCACATCACCAGGGCCTCAATTTTTTTTGTTTTTGAAATGTATTTGTAGTCCTAATCTTCATATAGTAAATATTTACGTGGGAATTATATAGCTTGTTAATCAAAATTAACGTGTATGCCAGAGATGGTGTCGTGGGAAAAGAGAAAAAGCTTCTATTTAGATATCCTAAATCCTTGATGATGCTTTTGTTTTCCTCCTGTTTATTTGTTCTGTATTGAGAAGGGATTTATGTTAGAAAAGGAATGTTTGTTGAGCAAAGTACAGTTTAAATTCTCAGACTTACGTGTGTTTGAATTGTTATTCTTAACCTTTTATTTTGTGGGATTACGCCAAATCAGTGAAATATGTGATTAGCTTTGGGATCATTTGAATCATTTTTGCCTCTTTTATTTAGGGGATTTTCACTAGTGTGATGAAATTGCTGTTGAGAAAAAGTATATGTGCATATATGTCAGTACATCTATCTTGTTAGATTTGTATTCCAGTGTTATAAATGGTTTTCCCTTTTCATCTCCCCATACAGCTGGATGCACGCTTTGTGCTGCTACATCAGGGCAGCACTGACAGATTGAATTAGTAGCCCTCTTCTCATTCAGATCTCAGTGTTGCTATCACTGAGGTTAACAAACTTAAAAAATAAAATTAAAAAGCAGCTGTGGAGTCGTAGAGACTTTTCTGTAGGCAGGGTAACTTCTCCAAAGCTTGTGTTTACCTAAACAATGCCTCCCCTTAAGGCTTACTGAGATCTCAGATTTTGAGTAACCCCCAGTATTTACTGCCTTCCAGATTCCAGTCTGTAAGCTTCAGTAGTTCACATTTTGTCTTGTCATCAAGAGTTTACAAACTATTAGCAGAGTTTACAAATTATGCTGCTTTCCAGCTTCTGACAGAGCTCATCATGATAATGAAATAAAGGGGGTCAAAGCATCCAAGTTGGTTCTCTAGGCGGAAAGAAAAGGAGGGCTCCCTTTGGGTGTTTCTCAAGTGAGTTTCCGTATCAGTGCGTTCCCAGTACGCCAAAGTAAAGCTTAATGTGTATGACAGGCAAGTTCTACTTGCTCTGAAGCATATCGTTCTGTATCATACCCTTCTGCATCATATCCTTCTGCATAGGGTTAAATCCTGAGCATCGTTATTAGATCACAGGAAAAGGAAGAAAAAAGAGAAGTCGCGCTTTCTCGCATGATTTAGCCTCTTTGGTGTGCGCTGCCACGAATAAGGCAGGGTTCTGATTCAGTGCACCCATTGTTAAGGAGATGAGGTTTGAGGGAAGAAGAGTGGAGTTTGTCACAGATGTTTCTGTAGATGTTTGTCACAGAAGTTTTTCAGCCCTGAAATGACCCAGGCTACTCAGCTCTGAAATTGTTCTTGGTGTCACTGAACATCACGATTATGTTTTTCCACCGAACCACCTTTCCTAATGGTGCTAGGTCTCACACCTCATTTTAAGAGCGAAAGCAACACAGAGAAATGATTTTTTCTAGCTGCTGGACTGCTGGGAATGGCTAAGACCTACCACTGCAGTCAGAATCAGAAGATGATCCCTTTCATTAGTTTCTTCTCCTACATGAATGCTATCTTTGGTGCAGTGCCACTTTGTAGGAGGCTGTCCTTTTATGGGTAGAATCTAGCAGACCACGCAGAGATCTTGAATTCTGCTTTCAGCTTTGCAGCCATAGCTTTTGTAGTTTTTAAGATACTGTTTTAGTCCCATGGGCTTTGTTCCCACTGTTTCTACTCCGGAGCTACTATTTTATGGATGTTTAACATGTGCTATGCACTTCACTCCTTATTGCTGAAAGCAGGGTGCCCCCAGGAGCAGGTCAGTAGCATCACACAGTTATTGTGGTAACGCCTATGGCTAGAAGAGTGCTTTTGTGCAAGGAAGAAACTGTTATATGTGCACCTCATAGGTAAGTGAGGAAGTAGCAGAAAGAATCAAAAGCAGTGTGAGAAATTTTAGGAGCCAGCAACTGCAGAGAAAAAGCTGCTATCATCATTTCCAAGCAGCCGCTTCAATATATTTAGATGGGCAGCATTTGTCATCTTGAAGGTTATTTACCTGCCTTGGTAAATATGAGTTGCCATCAGGCTAATGATTCAGCATCTGCTTATCAATGATGCTGATGAGAGCGGAGTGGATTTGCCGTAGGCTGCTCTGTTACTTCATTTAGCCAGTGGTTGTTTGAATTGGTTTCAAAAAATGCATAGGCTGTTAGCGGTGTTTGGTTGTTTGTTCTTTTTTTTTCCTTCACACGTTGGTGTTAAAGGACAGCGAAATGGTTGTCAAGACTAGCTAATTTATTTGTACTTGCAGAGGTATTGCTATTGCTGCTGTGTCGTTCCTCTGATCTCCTGCCTTTCCCATGACGATTTCCCGGTGTTTACATTATGGTAAGTCAGTTGTTCTTTTGTGCGTTTCCTCTCAGGGTTAAAAATGTAATGAAGGATACCTGAGAGAAACTTGATTTTAGTTTGATTAACACACACAGAAGTGTGTGCGTGTGTGTTCAACATGCTAAGCAAGTGTTTCCAGGAATGCGTGTACTGAATGTTCTCAGTTCTCCTTTCCTTTGTTTTCCATCCAGGATGTGAAGGCGGGCACCCAGCCACACTCTGTGACCAAGTCAGAGGTCCCAGACCATGTTCTTTACACAATAGGGACGTGCGTTCTTGTGATCGGCTCCATCGGCATCATAGGAAACCTCCTAGTTCTCTACGCTTTCTACAGGTACCCAGATTTCTTTCCTTTCTCAGCTTGCCTTCTAGTTTTGTATGCATCTTGTATGCATCTATTTAGCTGCGCAACCAAAACAGCGTTTCACTTTGAGGGCTAGCAGTTCAGCATTACACCTTCTCAGCATATCCATCAGAAGTGCCAGCTGTGAGGTAGAGGAAAAACAAATTCATGAGTTAATTTATTGTACTTTTTAATCAGCGGAAAGAAGCACTTCAAACAGATAACGCAAAGTGGAAGAGAGGGGTTCTTTATTATGTTAACAGTGTTTGTATTCCCCTTAGCTAGAGATAAGGGCAGTCTCAAATGCCAGCTGAAGGACTCCTAGGGGATCAAAACTACAGGTTACCTGAAGCACGTTTTTCAGCGTCAGAGACTAATCTTGCCCTGGGTGGCACATGCTTGTTGGTGCTTACACAGGGAATCAAGGAAAGAGGCAGATTGCTCTTCTCTTGAGCAAAATCATGTGTTTAAGGATAGATGAAATTCTTCCTCTGTTGAAGAGAAAGGACTTCTTTTATCCTTCCCTGCCTTTGTTAGTCATCATTTTGAAACAGTGCATTTTTTGCTGTGGTAATTGATTGATGGTTGGCAATTCACTGAATGAGAATAACTGCTCATTGCCACCTGGAGACCGTTTATGCTAGTAAGTGAAACAATTAAGATGGCTGTTTGTTCATTTGGCCTATTTCAAGCGATGCATTTCTCATCTGTTCTTAAGCAACAAGAAGTTGAGGACACCCCAGAACTTCTTTATAATGAACTTGGCTGTGAGCGACTTCTTGATGTCAGCTTCTCAGGCCCCCGTATGCTTTATCAACAGCTTGCACAGAGAGTGGATCCTCGGAGATATAGGTACTTTCTGAGACCACTTTATCTTTCACTAGCTCTACTGTCTTTAATGTATTTTAGCGCTAGTAATATTGGCTCATGGAATGGAGACAGCATCTCAGAACTCTGGAATTACAGCCTAGGTTTTTGACATGATCTATCCATGTGCTGACACGTTTTGTGTAACAATCTATTTCTCCGTATCAGCTTACAAAAAAAGTCAACAACAACATGTAATGATGGCCATTTAGCTTCTGAGGGCGAATGTCATGGCTAAAGATGGATAGGAAAGTTTTCTTTTAATTATAAGTATTTTTATTAGTTTGAGAAGGAGTTATTATTTAGAAAAGTACATTGGTATCAATTAATGTGTTCCTAGGATCACACATTTAATTATGGAAATGTAGTGATTTGGAAGGACTGTACAGTGGACAAAGAACTGTCTGGACAGTTGCAGGTTGCGGCCAAGAGCTTCACGTCCAGGTGGAGGCCAGTCATGATTGGCGTCTTCCAGGGGTTCATCTTGGGACTGCTGGTCTTCCACACCTTTTTTAATGACATAGACATAGAGATCCAGTGCACCCTCGACAGGTTTGCTACAGCACTAAGCTGAGCGGTGCAATTGATACAACAGACAGGCTTGAGGACTGCATCTGGGAACCTACTGAGGTTCAACGACGCCAAAAACAAAGTATCGCCCTTCGGTTGGGTCCGTTCCAGTATGTGTTCAGACTGGGAGAAAAATTCACTGAGAGCAGCCCTGTGGAGAAGAACTCTGGTCTAAGAACCGAACTGCTGAGTTCTGGTAGACTAAAAGCTTGCAGCATCCACTTGCAGAATGGAAGGCCAATAGTATCCTAGGCTGCAACATTTTTTGAGGTATCCATTTGTCATCAGTATATAGATATCTGCTGCCCCCTGTTAAGATCAATATATTGGGCAACAGTCCAGGAAAATGTAACCCTAATTAGATTGGATTTTCTTTGAGGCAGTTTTCCATTGACATGTTTCCAGCGACAGTCCACGGTGGACAGTAGGACTTGTTTATACATATGTGTCTTTGTCTTTTATTTGCATGTGCGCTGTTACGAATGAACATTTAATTATGCAATTGCAAGGCTAAGAATAATCCCATTATTCTAATGGGAGAATAGCCCTGGGCTGGATTTCTGACTTTTTGTTTCTTTTAAAGAGGAGACGCAAAGACAAAAGCTGTGCGTGGGCATTTATAAGATCAGGCTGTGAGAGAAAACAAACACATGTTTAAGAAAAAACAACAACAACAACAACAAACAAAACCCTGACATTGCTATTTTCTGCTTCAGGTTGTGACTTGTACGCTTTCTGTGGGGCGCTCTTTGGAATAACCTCGATGATGACTCTGCTAGCTATTTCTGTTGACCGCTACTTGGTGATCACCAAGCCCCTGCGCTCCATCCAGTGGACCTCCAAGAAGCGCACCGTGCAGATCATTGCTGCTGTGTGGCTGTACTCGCTGGGGTGGAGCGTGGCCCCACTCCTTGGGTGGAGTATGTTGTCTGCTCGCTCTTTCTTCCAGCATTCTCAGTGCAGTCTACTTTTGCCTTGTTCAGGGTATGAAAAAATGTCGATTAGGGAAATTTCTGAATGGATGCATGGCTACTGCCTGAAGGTTTACGGTCATATAGTATTATCTGTGCCTATGACAGCGCAGTACCCTGGGTCGTTTGTTTTGCCCTGGGTTGTGTTCAAGGTGACTAAGTTGCAGATTGGGTGTTAGGTGCGTATGATAGTCAGCAATCAGGACCTCCTCTCCATGTGTGCACTTGAGTATAACGCAGCCGACACGTCTCTCAAAGGCTATCCGTGCAGCATGGCATTTGTTTTAATCACTCTGTTGTTAGATTGGTATCTGTGCAAGTTTTGGTCATCTGTGCAAATAACGTATTCCATGTATTTCATAGGTTCCTACGTGCCTGAGGGCTTGATGATATCCTGTACATGGGACTATGTAACCTACTCCCCTGCAAACAGAAGTTACACCATGATTTTATGCTGCTGCGTATTTTTTATTCCACTGATAATAATATTCCATTGCTATTTATTTATGTTCTTGGCCATAAGAAGTACTGGCAGGTAAGCAGTGTAACCAAAATATGTGAAACTAGTTTTTCGTTGATTTAGAGCAATTTCTCAAAATCTTTATCTGCAGATAAATCTAAAATTAATCTCCATCGAAAGCAGAAATAAAGCGTGTGGTCATTAACTGCTGTAACTAGAGAAAAATTTCTGCCAACGTGAAAACTGGGAAGGATTGTTTGCATTTTGGAGTAGGAGACAAAGTAGTCTCAGATTGTTGTAATCTGAGCCCAAAGTGTGTTAAATAATAATACTTCAGATAATTTGATAGTTCCGATTATTTCTTTCAGATTTGCGATATGAGGAATGGGATGCTTGTGTATTACAGAAAGATTTTCAGCTCTGAGAGGCAATAAATACTGTGTAATAATGGGACCATCATCTGCCTGTGAGCTGCTCTGTGAACATAACAGTCCTTGTATTTTTTGACAGCTTTATTTAAAGCAAGTATCCCACAAACCTCATTGTTCAAGAGAGTATCCCAAAAACCTCATGGTTCAAGCATGTTTGTTGTTTTGGGGTTTTTATTTTCTTTTCCCCTCCGACAGTTTTAGTCCATATTTGTAGAGATGAAGCGAAAATTCAGCAGGGTACTAGATCTACAAAGACATTTCATTTTGCCCAATTGTTTCCCTTAATGCGTTCATTGGATTTTTGCTCAAAGCTGTGCTTTTGCTTGCTCCATCTCTGAGAACAATGAAGGTCAGGGGATACGCAATTCTTTACCCTCTGTACGTCAGGGTAAAGATTTGGCAGTCCTGTTCTGTAGTCCCAATGGTCCCTCTGCTTCGATCCCACTGTCAGACTGAGCCTGAGCAAAATGTCTGGGAATATTGTACAGCATGAATTACCTTCTAGATTTGTAGCTATCAGAGGACAAAGGAAGAGCGAGAGCAGGAAAAATGAAGCCTTCTTTGTTATTGTACGCCACTGAGAATGTTCTAAAGACATTGCACTTTGCTCCTTTGTTCTCTTACTTTGTATATCTGTATTTTTTTTCCCTTAATAGAGATGTCCAAAAGCTTGGGTCCTGCAGCCGCAAATCCTTCCTCTCTCAGTCCATGAAGAATGAATGGAAACTGGCAAAAATTGCATTTGTGGTCATCATTGTGTATGTCTTATCCTGGTCTCCATATGCTTGCGTCACTTTGATTGCCTGGGCAGGGTAAGTGAAAACATAATCCAAAGAGTACTTATACCAAAATATAAACATGATTAGTGTTGTCTTTTGGAAGTGTTTTAAATGATTGGTAATTAGTGGTGACTCTGTGCCCTTCACGGAACTGTAGAATCATATAGGTTGGAAAAGACCTTCCAAGATCTTCAAGTCCATCCATCAACATGTCCCACCGAGTCCCATCACTGCACCGCGTCCCTCAGAGCCATAACTTAGTTCCCCAGGGGTTGGTACTGGGGCCCTGTCCTGTTCAATATCTTTGTCGATGATCTGGATCAAGGCACTGAGTGCACTCCCAGTAAGTTTGGAGATGACACTAAGCTGGGGGGAAACGTCAATCTGCCTGGGGATAGGGAGGACCTACAGAGGGTTCTGGGCAAGCTGGATTGCTGGGCTGAGGCCAGTGGGATGAAGTTCAACAGGACCTAGAGGCGGGTCCTGTACTTTGGCCACAACAACGGCAGGCACCAGTACAGGCTTGGGGCAGAGTGGCTGGCAGACCGTGTAGAAGAAACAGTCCTGGGGGGTGCTGGTCGACACTGATCTGAACAGGAACCAGCAGTGTTCTTGGTCAGTCTCAAATCGATAATTGATTCCATTTGCATGTCTGTCATTCTTTCCAAATAAATGAAACCAAGTATGCACTGTCAAAACCAAGCCTTTCATCCGAGCAAAGATCGTGTTCAAACAAATTTAACTTCTTAGCAGCGTTTGTTATCATGAGACCTCAAAACAAAAACGGTTAAACAGAACAGGTTTCAGTGGTTTAATGTTAATGACATAGCTCTAGCGTAATGAGTTTTCCTTTTTTATAGCCGAGGAAACACTCTGACGCCGTATTCCAAATCTGTGCCAGCCGTAATTGCTAAAGCCTCTGCAATCTACAACCCCATCATATACGCAATAATTCACCCGAGATACAGGTACAGTAAGCATATAGGTATGTGTACAACTCCACAGGAGACAAAGCGTTTTTAAAAACGAACGAACAAGAACCGCTATTCAGCATGTCACTAGATTTTCCTGCACCTCCTTCAAAGCGTATGTCCTGCGAAAGGCAGCGATTAATCTCGGAAGGAAGGAATCCGTGGTGATAAAGGTAGGAAGGCCGCTAGGTGGCAGGGCGGGTCGTCTGTACGCTGCCTGAAACTGACCGCGGAGCTGTAGAGCAGAGAGTCTGTTGTTTTGAATGTCCGACAAATGAAGGTGTTTTTGTAAACCTTTTTACGAGGCTGACGGAAATAAGTCCAGGAGCGTTTGTTTGAAATACCTACTATCGTAACTAAGACATTTGCGTCCTCCGAGACAACAGAGTCTATCTTAGTTTTAGAAAGTTGTTTCATATTTGAGCTTAGAATAAGAGAATGACTAGTATTCAGTGTCCCGCAGAAGCGTAGTGAGAAGAAATGCATGGATGGCTGTCATATTCTAAGCCTGGTATTATTGTTCTGACCAAAAAGATATTGCATTCAGTGATTCCTCACTTTAGTTTTACAAGTATGCTTTTTCAGAACAGATACCGTTCAGTGAAGTGCTTCAGTTAGTCTTTTTCCTGCCAGCGTTGACTTTTATCCATGTATGGCTGTATTAAGAAAAAGGCTCGTGCCAGCACAGCATTTCAGAGACTCTCTCAAAATCCCCCCTTTTTTTTCCTCCTACTTCCTATCTTATATTTCAAGGCGTATCAATAACAGAAGTGTTTACGCAGATACTGTGGAGATGTTTCATAGACGTGGGTGTCATTCAGTCAGAAAAAGGAGCGATGTTGCCTCCCTTGTGATGAATCAAGCGAGCAGCTTTAAAACAGAAAAGACTTTGCCAACAGCTCAGCTGGTAAAATGTTTGTCAGAATCAAGATTTTACAGCATCTTGTCTTATGCCTCAGTGAGGAGCCGATACGTTATACATTTCCCATTGAAATATGTCCTATGCATCTGTTATTTTCCCTACGCCTATCTTCTTAACTCGTTCAGGTATATTCTGTATTAGCTTCATCTCCTGGTCTGATATGATAGATTAGGTGGCACTGTAGAGGTGTTGCACCAAACGCAGCACTCTGGCTAGCATCACCCTGCATGTCCTTGAAAGCAGTGAGAAACTCGGTCAGCTGGCACTGTGTAGGGAAAACTGTGGCTTCTCTGCTTCATGCAAGGTAGGGAGGGATGTAGCTGTATAACCTTTACTCTAGACATTGTTTACCGAATAAAGCAGGTTTTTGCTATTTGGAGCTTCGGTCATCCTTCTTCACTAGGTATGAGTAAAGCAGAATGAGGTGTTGACTTCAGACAGGAGTTTATCGGAGCTACCGTGGCACAGGCAGAGAACGAAGTCTGATACCCTCACAGTAAAGAATTTCAAAGGATTTCCTCTTTGTCCCTTGTTCTGTCTCTGGGCCTCCTCGATGGATAATCTCTCTTCACCTGCTGCTGGCCAGGCTCGTTTTAATGTATCCTAGGTTAGCATTGGTCTTTTTGGCCGTAAGATTACACCTGGCCACCAGGACCCCTACGCTCTTCTAATCTTCTACTTTTTCTCTTCTCGTCTGCTTTAGGACACAGACTTTTGTCCAAGGCAGCTTGAAATTTTTCTGAGTTAATCTTTCAAATAAGTTGGAAGCGATGGTGTTTTCCAAGCTAGTTTCAGTTCTTACTACCCATCTGCTCAGCTCTTCCATGAGCGTTTTGATAGAAGGCCCTGAAACCAACTGCTGTTTTCCTTTTGGACTTTCAGTTGAGTCCTTTCCACTAACTGTACCGCGTTATTTCCATGTGTGATTAAGTGCCGTCATTGCATGATTTTCAAATCCATTCATCGGTGTATTGTTACATAGTTTGTCTTTCTCTTCACCCATTTTCCTTCAGGAAAACCATCCACAATGCTGTTCCCTGCCTGAGGTTCCTAATACGAGTATCAAAGAATGATCTCCTGAGGGGGTCCATAAATGAATCATCATTCAGGACCTCTCTCTCCAGCCACCAGTCTCTTGCCGGAAGGACCAAGACCGCTTGTGTTTCATCAGTTTCCACTGGAGAAGCTGTAAGTTTTTCTCGTTTCCACCAAGCAAAGGGAGTATAGTATCTCTCCAACTCCCAGAATAAATTGCTATTAAAATTAAAGTATGGAAAAGAGGATTGTTCTAGCTAAATTGTTTTGGATATGTGAGGCAATTTCTCCCGAACTTTGGTGGGAATTCAAGCGTGACGAGTTTTGATCAGGACAAACGTAGAAGCTGGCCTATCTGGGCAATTCAGATGCTTACTTGTAGCATGGATGTTTGAGCTCAGGGCTAATTAAAAAGAGCCATTGTCAGGCACCTCCAAGTCACCAAATAGTTGCCTTGTAATCAGGTGGCTCTGGGAGGAGGAGAGCAGGAAAATCACCTCCCAGCAAAGATTTCTCACCTATCCAACAGTGTCCTATTGTTTTGCAGGAAGTCCACTTTCTGTAGTAAACTTTTAGGTTTAGGTTTTTCTTCCCCAGGAGGACTGAAAGCCTTCTGCACCTGGAACCAGGTGCAGTGTTCTGCAAACACTGTACCTTAAGTCTTGGTAAAGCTGGTGAACTGGCTGAGTATAGCTACCTACAGTGCGTGGGCATTTGGCAGGAAAAAGTCACGGGACAGAAAAACAGATAGGTAACATGGCATGCAAGTTAAAGTTCAGAACAGAATCTCAGCGTGAGGCGTTTATCACTTTTCTGACCAAACAGAATTAAATGGGAAGCAGGTCTCGTGAGAGGCTAGTAACCTTCTACAAAGGTATAAATTCCCACGACGGGCTGAGCAGCAAGCTGCAGGCTCTTCTTCTGAGCCAAGCGGTAGCTTTCTGAGTGAGGAGGAAGAAGCTATTTATCTGCTGCACCCTGCAAACTGCTGCTGCTTCCAAGGGGCTGTCAGGCTGTCACTGAGAGTCAGACCAGGGTGCCACATTTTAAAGAAATCGTAACAGTGTTGGACGATTTGTGGAAGACTGGCATTCTTGATTTGGAAATGAACCTAGGACCACCAGGAAACCAGCACGGATGGCATACTTCTCTTAACGTGACAATGTTCTGAGCACCTGTGGGTTTACACGTTCAGACCACTGGTCACACATGTCCTGATTTGATTTTTTTTTTGCTTTTGATCACTGCTCGGTTTGTGTGTGTTTGGTTGGGGCTGATGTTTAAAGAGGTGGGATGGTGCAGATAAGAGTCTTCAGCTTTTGCTTAAAGATCTCAGACAAAACAGTTGCCATTCGTTATGAGCAGGGCTGTTCTGTGCCAACCTGGCAGTGCCAAAGGTAATCGTGCCTACAGTGACAACTCAGTGCACCTATACGGTTTACAGCTGAAAGAGCAGCTGCTGAAATTCAAGCTAAGCTCAACAACCAGCGCGTGACAACGGCACGGAGTGAAATTTTGGAATGCTCCAATAATGTACTGATAGGCAGGAATGACACTATCAGTACCATAAAATCTGCAGCTGTTCCCACCGCTGCTTTGCTGTGTGCTGCGCATATGTCTTTGCAGAGAGACAATATATTTGAGGCAACGATATCTGTATGTATGAGCAAGATAACGCAGTGGAATTACGTGCTAGCTTCCTACTTGTGTGGAGACCGGTCTGTCTATCGCTATCTAAAAGGTGGTGTGGAAGATAGTAGACCAATTTCATCATAGTGACACCATCAAGAAGGCACCACAAAGTTAGGTATGATGGATGGCCCAACCCTATGAATGGAACAGCCTGACTACAAAATCATTGTTCTGCTCCACTGCAGTTGTGGTTTTTGGAAAATTTATGCAGGGCCCGCTCAGGGCCCCTAACAAACACGAATGATATTTTGGAGAAGAACCGGGCCTGTGGAACTGAAGAAATCCTTGGTGTTTGGGCATCCAGCTGGGACATACATAAGTGGCAGTTTAGACGTGCGTGCGTCCGTGGTTCTGGACCAGCCGAGGGTCACGCGGAATGCCATAAAGCATGTTAAGCACAATGACTGCATTTGTTTAGATAATGTGAGCCCACCTTCAGACACCAGCTAAGCAATTGTAATCACAGTACAAGCAATGAGATAAAAGATGCACAAGTAACTTATTGTTGAAATGATGAAAGATGATTTAATCTGTTTTCAAAGTTCGTATGTTTGTTTGTTTGTTTGTTTACTTCAGGAAAGAAGTCCAGGGTAAGCGAGAAAATAAAAAATCAAGTCTCTCCTCACGAGAGTTTGGAGTGTGAGACCTGTGTTAGAGTGACTGTTGTTGTCTCTAAGCGTACAGCATAAGGCTTCTTCTCAAGTTGGAGAACTTAAAGTTTGAGAAAAGGTGTAAATTTCTGAAATCTGTCACTATTTTTTATTAGAATTGGAGCGACGTAGAGCTTGACCCGGTAGAGCCAGCTCACGCGAAACTGCAGCCTCGCCGAAGTCATTCCTTCTCAGAAAGCCTGAGACAGGAGAAGACAGACCTGCTCCCAGAGACCTATAGCTGCAGTGAAGAAACCGAAGGAAAGGTAAGGAAAAAAAGTATTCTTTGGTAGGGAAATTTCCATTGTAGTAGCTAAGCGTGCTGCAGCATGTCATCTGAGAAATAATAATTTATTCTCCATGACCATTTGTTTCATCTGCAGCTATGTTTACAGAGATTCCGATGCCCTCTCCATCCTTGCTATTATATTTATTTATTTTAACTGAAGTGAATGCTAGTAATGTTTTTTTTTTTTCTCACCAATATGTTGCCTGCTTTTGGAAAGCCAAGAGCAGCTCGCAGCTCTGAAGCCGCATTAAAGAGGATTCGGTAGGGTTGTGTAAGAACCGGAATTATTGTCTCCCTGCATGTTCATCTGCCCCAGCTCTGGCTTCTCCTATCCTGACCTTCACGATCACATCGTGAAAGCGTTTTTCATGAAAATATAAGGCCTCCAAAACAGAGTTTGACATGATAGAAACCACTTTTTTTCGTTCTTTTATAGCGTACATTGAAATGTTTTATTTTTGTTGAGGGGGAAGACGAGAAAGAAACTCCCATTTCTCCCTAAGGGTGGGAGAGTCTGGCAGATGCCACCCTTCCCTCACTGAAAGAGGAGATGGTGAGTACTCAGAGCATCTTCTGTGGATGCATTATACCACTTACCCAAACCTCTGAGGTCTGGGGCTATGCTGCGAGGAGCTCCCTCCCCATTCTCGGCGTAACTGCTAAGGATGGGCGCAGTAGGTCACCTGACAGCTTCTGGAACTGCTGTGCAACCAGTTTCAAGATGAATATTTGTAGGGAGGTACAACATCAAGCCTATGTCAGTGCCGTATTTTCAGCAAGAAAGAATTAGGGCACGCAGTACACTGCCAACAACCGGTCACGGTGCCACCTGCTTTTTCACGGAGCAGCTCAGGCGTAGAGATCGGTGCGGCAGAGACAGCATAGCTTAAAGCAGAACCTATTCCAGAAATTTCCAACCATCTGACGGCACGGTTCCTGCATGCATCTGCCCTGTCTTCCTTCCTGTGCCTCCTTGAGATCAAGTCCTGGGAAACCTCAGTCCTTCCCTGCGGTCGTTGTGAGTAGCATCGATTGAGAACAGCAACATTGGAAGTGCAGCAGGGATGGTGCCGTTGCGAAAGCACAGGCACCTCGTATCATTTTTCATTCTCAGGGAGGAGTGGCAGAGCTGTTACGTTAAGCCAAGTCCTGATCCTATGAAAGATAAGTGCTTCTACTCTGCACAACTGGCATCTTTGTGAAAACTCGTGCTACGCAGGCAGCAGGAGCAACCTCATTCTGCTGACCCTCTCCACTTCCTCTTCCTCTTTCTGTTCTGGTAAAAAATTTCCCATGGGTGAGACAGGCTGAGGTAAAGCTTTCAGGTCTCACTCCTCGCAAGTCAAGGGATAGGATAAATTACCGCAGCCTCAGCACATCTTTTATTCTCTGGGGATAATAATTACTGAAGAGACCAAACGCAAGTCTCACGGACCATCTACGCCATGGCTGCTAATTACTCATTTTTGGCAATATTGACCTAAACTGACTTTAGGATGGAGTGTCCAGTTTTTTGTTCTTGCCACAGGATAGCTTCTTGCTGTGAAAGGATTGTGCTAGGCCTCTGCTTCAGTTGTGGTGGCAAGCGACACGGACTCAGAAGTCCTGCATACCTCTCTTGCCCTGCATCAGCAGCCCAATTCTGTTGAAGGCATAGAGAAAACAGGGAAAACAAGAGGCGTGTTTTATGAAATGCATCTTAAACTTTTTCTTCAATAAGACCATCTCATCAGCACCTAAGGAATTCATGTAACTGTAAACTCTTCGTGGACTGAAGTCATTCTTTAATGCGCGTTTGCAGCTGAGTTACCAAAAAAATAACCACAAAGCCACAGAGAAAGAAAAAACATCCCTCAAGCGTAAGTAAAACACTATTCGCTGTTCCAGGTCTGGGGCATAGAAAACATAGAAACACGTGGGATCCTTTTCTGTCACAAAGTTACAAGCAACCCCACGGCTAATTGCAATTAGAATAGTAGCAGACATCCCATCAGCTGACACTGGGAAACCTAACACGGCTGTGAGGAGGCCTTTTTGCAAGCACCGAAATGCAGGCATCTGTTTTAAGTATAAGGTAGATTGGAACACTTGGTTTCAAAGGAGAGTTGCCAAGCGTGCTCTGTGCACCCAGCGTGCGTACCAAGGGAACTATGCAGCGTGAAATGAGGGCTGCCAGCTCTGACCTCCTGCAGGCGTGCCCTCCGGAAATGTCTGTGACAGAGGAAAGGTGGCTCACACCTGCTCGGAGAAGTCATCTCACAATAGGGCTAAAGGGAACGTACACATGTTGTTTGGTGGTCTTTTAAACACCGTCATGAACAAGCGCCTCAGCTGTGGAGAAAGCTGCGTGTCTGCAGGCACCGCTATGACCACCACCAGCAGGGCAGCGCAGGGCAGAGAGGGATTGGCAGTCACTCAGAGGAACAAGCGCCAAGATCTGTTCTCTCTTCACTCCTTGCCACTCTGCAACCAGCAGGAGTTGCAACCAAGCCCACGCTGGTCATCCCAATGCTCAACTAGCAAAGTCCTGTCTAGAGGAAAACTAGCAAATGTGCTGTCACGCCCACTAAGCCACAAGCAGTTCAAAACAGCAGGCCGGAGGGATTTTAAATTATTCTTTCATTCTTCCACAGTCTTGATTTGAAATGAAAGGCATTTCTTCTCTGTCAGGTTTACTGAAACCACTGTTTTTTAGCACATTGTTATTCTCTGTACTGGGGAAGGTACAGCAGGGAAAGAAATCATCATCGGCAGAGATTTGTGAAGGATTAGTGCCTGTAGAGTAGGGCATCGTGCAGCAGTACGTGTCGGTATTTAAACTCACACCCAGCTTGACAGAGAAACACACACTGAAAAGGCTGATCGTTCTTTTCCTTGCAAAACCATAAAAATTGAGTGAAAACAGATGCATTTTCTCTGTTTGTTTTTTGTTGTGTTTTTTTTCTCTGCGCAACGAGATGGCAGCGCAATATGTTATGCAGAATGGCTGGCAATAACGGCAGTGTGCTGGCTAGAGAGGTAAAGGGGGACCGGGGTTTTCTTTTCTTGTCGGTCTTTGCCAGTGTTTGATCACATCTTCTTTTGCTTCATATAACATTCTGCTTTCCATGCTGTAGATGGTAACGCATTGTGATTTTCCTCCTTTCTAGTCAGTGATTCAACCATTTAGAAAATAGGATGAGCGTCTGATGTAGTGAGTAGCCGCACTGAATATTCCAAGTTCTGATTTGCAATGACACTGATGCTTTTCCCTCTGCTCTAGGTTTCGCTGTCATCCAGCTGCCTGGAGAAGGTTCTGGGGCCGTCAGCCTTCCTCAGCTCCCCCGTAGCACTCGTGACCAGCTCCCTCCGAGCAGCCTCTCTGTCTGTCGGTTTGAACAGCGGCAGCATCAGCCTAGAAGCAGGCTCAGACACCTCGCAGATGGAAACTCAAGAAAGTCATAATAATGGAGGCTTGGACTCTACTGTTAGTAATACAGTCCCTCAAATCATTATCATTCCTACCTCAGAGACAAACCTATTTCAAGAGGAACCTGAAGAGGAAGAGACTGAATTATTCCACTTCCATGACAAAAAGAACAATCTGCTGGATTTGGAAGGGCTTAGCTCATCTACAGAGTTCCTTGAAGCTGTTGAGAAATTTCTATCATAAGTGCATCGAAGGGAAACTTTCTGGCAGTTATTTTCTTGGCATCTTGTCTCCTTAGTTATACCAAATAACCGAACCCTTGTACATTAGGTCATCAGGCTTTTTGTATGTTTATATGGTAGCCACTAGGCAGCTTTCGTATTTGTCTTTGTCTAGATTAGTTCAGGCACAGAAAAAAAGCTTTCTTTCAGATCCAGCACTGGAGGATCTGGCAGCAGGATCAAGTGGGATTAGCGGAGTCGGCTGCCTGCTTCATGAGGCCCTGAACCTTGATCTGCAACCACGGATACCAGCAGGAGGAAAAACAACTGAACTGAAATAGCGGTAGCCGCTGAATTTTTGCGCTACCTGCATGTGGCAGCTCTCTTCTGGAGGCGACGGTAAGCACTACGAGACCTCAGCTTTCCACCAGCCCCAGAGGTAATATGACTAGAAGATCAAACTATCTTTTATTCAAATTTCTTATATAAACATAATTACGTGGACTGATCACGTAGCTGGGAGGAGATCGCTCGCTCATAAACTTCAGTGATAAAATTTTGGATTTTCCCTCAGCGGTAGCGTAATCACCTGAATGTCAAAACACAAGGTGCTAGATGCCAAAACATATAATTTCACCTCTGGCAGCACTTAGAGCACGTTGAGATTTTCATTGCAGATTAAAATGTGTATGAACCCTAACAAATTTGTGTTTAAAAGGATGAATACCCACAGCTGGCTTTATAATTTATTCACGAGAATAAAGCCTTAGCCGCTATGTGTCACTTGTTTCTTCAGCAGAGATTCTTCTAAAACCTCACAGATGGATGTCTTCTGCAGGTCCCATTCCGAAAGCCTTCCCGTGGGTAAGATGTCACCCTGGAAGATAGCTTCAGAAAACTGTATCGTTTGTTACAGGACCTGCAGTTGCACTTTTAATGGTGGTTATTGTTTGTTTTGTGTTTTATGTGATTTTTATGTTACAGCTCAGACTACAAGATCCTGCTCACATTTTAGACCTAAATGCATTCTTTCTGTAGTTATCCATTTTCCCTTATTAAAAGATGTTCTCCTCTCCCTCCCTTTTGGTTTCTGAACTTCAAATGTAGACAAATTGAGCTACACTGTTCTTTACAAAGCAGGATATCTTGGGAGAAGGCAGAAGTTCCTCGGGCAGAGGTTTTCCTCCAGAACCAAGCATCAGGACAGAACCACCCGCAATCAGCTCACTGTTCTGAAGAAAATTCCTACACTGAGGACCAGCTCAGCTAGCAGGTGGCACGGCACAGTGACCGGCGTGGGATTTGCCCACCTGCAGTTTCTGAAGCCGGCCTGCTATCCAAGCGTGCGGTTTGAGCCAGAGGGTAACAGAATGTTCATTAAAGACTCCGTTCCTGAAAAACAGGGGAGGCTTCATCCTCGGTCGAACGTAGGGTTCTGCCATCTCTGATTATTTTCTGCTGCTTCTGTCCTCTCTGGTTCATTATCATCTGTTTTTCCTATGTAACTACATAGCCAGTGACCTAACTTATTGTATTTAATATCTTCAGCGGTGACTCCCTTCTTAGTGAGCCAGATGCTAGAAAGCAAACATACTTGCTGGCCTTCCAAGTCTTACACCTGACTTTTGCTGTTGTCATTAACTCCAAACAACAGTAACCAAGGCATTCAGTGTTCCAAGATACAAAAACAGGCCTCTGAGAAGATTTTGCACTCTAGCATTCATATAATTGTACTGGTAAGACTGTAAGGGGAACACTGCTGTGATTTCCAGTGGGATGAATAATGTAAGCTCTAAAGCGACAGTGAACAAACTCCTCTGTAACCAGGGTTTCGCTTGGAGTGCAAGATGACATGCCAGCAATCTCTTGCACGTGTGCTGATGCCAACTGTGTGTTTCAGAAAATGAACGGGTTTGAGATGTGTGCATTTCATTTCTGTACCTCCAATGTCATGTACAATTTTTACTATGGCTTCTGCAGCTAAAGTCAATATTACTGTGTTCTTTAACTGCTGTAGACAAGAATGTCACATGAGACAGCAGTAGAGTGATAAAACTGAAAATTGTATGCAATATCAGACATATTTGTTTCAGAGACGTCGCAGAGTAAATCAATCTTCAAATAGCAAAAGCAACACCAAAGAATCTCGCGTGCTTCTCTGTTGCCACGTTAGACTAGATGGCACATAATAATGTTCGGTATTAACTGCTGCTTCTCGTTTCACAAAGGCGTGTGTTGGTTCACTGAAATGGAATAAAAAATTATTAGAAGTTGTATTAATCGTTTCTTTTTCTTATTTAATTATTAATGTCAGGACCAAGGAGGAGGAACAAACACGTTAGCTCATAGCTTTAGAAGCCCGTTCCAGTGTTATAATAAGGTGCATCTTTAACTTCATTTAAACAAGCAGCTCTTTTCAAGTCACTTACACTACTCACTTACAACCAAGAACTTGTCTAATTACATCCTTAGCTTCGCAGTTTGGGCATCTAAAATCAGAGCTCCCTGACTTGGGGAAATCTGAATTTGCTCAGTAGCTTTTGAAATGAGATGGCTTCAAATGCGGTGTCAGATATCTGGCAAATAAATTTTTGGGGGAAAAATTGACCATAATCAATACATTAGTACTCTGACAGCAGCCTCTGATCTTTGCAGCAAATCTCGATGACGCTAAGCCAGCCATTGCTCGCTTCTGCTAATTCTTTGTGTAACAGTTATAGCAGGTGCTCCAGTTTTCATTTTTCACAAGTAACAGATAGTTCTGACTACGAACGTAAACATTTTCTTTTACTATAAATCAGTGAACGATGATTTTTTTTGTAGTGAAATAAACAGTTTGAGTAAGGAAAAAAATTACTTTTTTGAAACATAACGAGTCTTGCTGCCTCGAGTTGGCACGAACAGGATCTGCATTACTTGAATCAATAAAGCTCATTCATTTCCCAAATATCCATCCTTTCAGAAGGCACTGCTGACCAAGCAAGCCCTTCCACTCTGCTGTCTGAAAAAGCCAATGCTCTAAGGTGACGTGTGCCACACAAAACCGGAAAACATGTGGGGTGCCATACCCTCAATGTTAGTCATATATTTTTTTCATTTATACTTCTACCTAGTCTGTAAGCTTTTGGTATTTTTGTCCTTGAATAAATACACCAAAAAGCCGGTGGCGATCTGGAAAGCTGGGTGCACTTCACGCAGCATTTGGAGCGTGGGCTTCTTTCATACTTGAGAACAGACAAAAACAGTGCCTCAATTTAGCAAGTGCCATGCGAGGGGAGTTTGAACAAGACGGAAGCATCTGAGATGCAGCTGCCACATCCCGCGTCATCTCAGCACAAGTTTGCAATTATTTCTTGCTTTGCACCTCAATCACAGGCCCGATCCACACAATAATGTTCTGGCTGCACACCTGCAACATACACGTGTTTAAGTGACACTAACTGACCATCATTTCCAAGAGCTGAAAGAGCAGAAGTAGCCGAGGGGCTAGGGAGAACAGTCGCATCATTTTACCTGCTGATTTTCAGCCTGAAACTACACGACTTAGTTGGTGATCAGTATCAACGGGTCACATTGCTTAGCAGCTTAGAATAGGATAGAAAAGGACAGTCACAATACCATGCACTTCCACCTACCCCAAGTGTTGTTTCATAGACACTCTGTGGCCTGCTGGCAGCACGCAACACCTGCAAACCAACTGAAACAGCCGCTTTTCCTGCCCGATCCATAAGCGGCATAGAGTCCCTTTATTCTCTGCAACAGCACCGCCGCAGCCAGGGGCAAGAGGGGGTGGCTGCAGCAGCCATGTCAGTTCTCAGTTGCTCTTCATTT